AGATATATTGAGCATGGTGCTCAGATCATGATATGAATAAATATAGCAGTTTAAATAATCTACCAGTAAGGCCTTTTCGCAGACCACCATGAAAATTTCGGGCTACATGCCTGGCTGCAAATATAAGCAAAATGAAAACTATCATATAATTGTAGGATAATAGAGATGGTAGAGATCACATAGGCCATCTAGTCCAACCCCCCTGCATTACAGGAAAAACACAAAGTACCCCTGACAGATGGCCATCCAGCCTCTATTTAAAAGCTTCCAAGGAAAGAGTTTCCACCACATTTTGTAAGAGCCACTACCAGAAGGCTCTTACAGCCAGAAAGTTCTTCCTAATGTTCAGATGAAATCTCTTTTCCTGTAATTTGAACTCATTGCTCCAAGTCCTAGTTTCCAGGGCAGCAGAAGACAAGCCTGCTCCCTCTCCTTTATGTCACCCTTTCACGTATTTATACATGGCTATCATTTCTCCTCTCAGCCTGTTCTTCTGCAGGCTAAACATACCCAGCTTTCAAAGATGCTCCTCATAGGGCATGGTCTCTAGACCTTTGATCATTTTAGTTGCACTCCTCTGGATACATTCCAGGTTGTCAATATCTCTTTTAAACTGTGGTGCCCAGAATTGGACACAGAATTCTGACCAAAGCAGAATAGAGGGGCACATGACTTCCCTTGATCTAGACACTATACCCCTTTTGATGCAGTCCAAACTCCCATGGGCCTTTTTAACAGCTGCATCACACTGTTGGTTGATGTTCAATTTGTTGGAGACTCACGAAGACTCCAATCTTTTTCACATGGACTGTTGTCAAGCCAGGCATCACCCATTCTGTAACTTTGCATTTCATTTTTTCTGCCGAAGTGTAGTATCTTACATTTGTCTTTGTTGAAATTTATTTTGTTAGTTTTAGCCCAGCTCTCTAATCTGTTAAGGTCATTTTGAAATCTGACCCTGTCCTCTGGAATATTAGCTATCCCTCCTAATTTGGTGTCATCTACAAACTTGATAAGCATGCCCTCTAAACATCCAAATCATTAATAAAGATGTTGAACAATACTGGTCCTAGGACTGAACCTTGCAGCACTCCACTAGTCACTTCTTTCCAGGAACCATTGGTGACATCTTTTTGGGTTTGTTTAACCAATTACAGACCCACCTAATAGTAGCATTGCCTACCCTACATTTGACTAGTTTGTTTGCAAGAAGGTCTTGGGAGACTTTGTCGAAGGCCTTACTGAAAGATATGCTACATCCACAGCATTCCCTGCATTTACCAAGCTTGTAACTCTATCAAAAAAAAGAGATAAGATTAGTCTGGCATGACTTGTTTTTAAGACATTCATACTGACTTTTAGTAATCGCAGCATTCCTTTCTAAGTGATTGAAAACTGCCTCCTTAATTATCTGCTCCAGAATCTTTCGTGGTATTGATGTCTGTCTGACTGGATGGTAATTGTTTGGGTCTTTTTTCCCCTTCTTGAAGATAGGGACAACATTTGCCCTCCTCCAGTCTGCTAGGACTTCTGCTGTTCTCCAAGAAAGATTATTGCCAGGGGATTATGAAACCACTTCTGCTAGTTCCTTCAATATTCTTGGATGTAGTTCATCTGGCCCTGGAGACTTGAATTAACTTAGAGAAGCCAGGTATTCCTAGACTACTCCTTTGCCTATTTTGGGTTGCATACCCCCTATTACCTCTTCAGTTTCATACTGGTCAGGTTGAATAACAATCTCTTTTGAAAAGGAGGACAAGATTTTTAAAAATGCTTTGAAGGCTGAAAAGTGCATCCAAGTCCAGTCCAGCAGATAAGAAGCAGTTTTTCTAGTTCTGCTAGTTCTGAGGGGGGAAATCATGGGACTCTACACCTTGCCTCTTTAAGGTCCAAACATCACCGTTTTCCCATACTATATACACAGTAAATAAATCAGGACAGCATTTCAGAAAAAAACTCAAGACATGGCTATTCGAGCAGGCATTTGCAAATACTGAGTAATGGACATAAGAACGGAACAACCACGTGATGGGACTGGACATTGTTTTAATGAGCATTTATTGAATTATGTTTTATAGTTGTTATGATTTTATTGATGTTAATGTTTTTATATTGTAATTGTGTTTATGGTGGCATTAAATTTTGCCTTGTAAACCGCCTCGAGTCTCTGGAAGGCTGAGAGGAGCAGTATACAAATACAGTAAGTAAGTAAGTAAATAAATAAATAAATAAATGGAAACACTAAAAAAACAAAACAAAGAGGTGAATTCCTGACATGAAACAATCAGAGCCAGCTAACACCTCCCAACAAAGGATTCCTACAGACAGGAAGCAACCAGCCTTTGACACTGCAAGATCATTCAGTGCTAATCAAGGTGGCTAACTGCAACGTTCACACTTGCCTGAAACAGACAATAGTTCTTCCTCCCACCCTGAACATTATTCCACAGACATATAAACCCCACTTGCCTAGTTTCCAACAGATGTCACAACCTCTGCCACAGATGTGGGTGAAACATCAGGTGAGAATGCTTCTGGCACATGGCCATAGAGCCAGGAAAACTCACAACAACCCAGAACCTATGTTGTTTGTAACCTGGGGATGTACACAACATATGTATGTGTGTGCAATATATATAAGGCATGGGCATACTTCAGCCCTCCAGGTGTTTGGGTTGAAGTTTGCCCATGCCTGAGATACACACACACACACACACACATATACACACACACAGCCACACACACACACAAGGAGCCCCTGGTGGCGCAGTGGGTTAAATAGTTGAGCTGCTAAACTTGTTAACCAAAAGGTCGCTGGTTCGAATCCGGGGAACGGTGTGAGCTTCTGCTGTCAGCCCCAGCTTCTGCCAACCTAGCAGTTTGAAAACATGCAAATGTGAGTAGATCAATAGGTAGAAGAAGAACAACTTTATTTTTCTACCCTGCCTCCATCTCCCCAAAGGGACTCGGGGCGGCTTACAGGCAAAGTATAATGAAAACAAAAAACAAAAACAAAAATTTAAAACAGCAGACATTAATAAACATGTATCAAGCAACAACAGGCTAAAACTTTGGAGGGAGAGGGGAAGAAGGCCACTGTGTGAACTAATTCAAAGATGAGTGAATAAGCTGGATAGAAACGTATAATAGAATAGGAAATAGCATGGAACAGAGTGACTGAGCAGTAAATAATTCAACTTAAAACTTAGAAAATGTATATAATAATGTGACATAGGAATTCTAAGGATGGGTTCAGATCATGACTCAATCAAATGCACTAAGAAACATCCACGTTGCTGAATGTGGGTAGGGTGCCAGCCTAATCTCCCTGAGGAGGGAGTTCCAGAGATGAGGTACTGCTTCGGCGGGAAGGTAACGGTGCTCCATGCAGTCATGCCAGCCACATGGCTATTAAAATTGACGGAGATCATGAATATGTATAGACTAACTAATCTAATGACAACATTTCAACAGAGAAGGAAACCCCAAATGGACTGGACAATGGTAAAATAATTTCCCCATTGTAGTCCCTGTGAATCTCGCATATGGTATTTCCTGTGCCTGCGCAGGCACAGGAAATACCATATGTGCAAATTCACAGGTGACCACTCGGGGAACTATGGTAAGCAACCTATATATCTCAGAAAAGAAAATATAAAAATATAATGGAAACATTTTTATGATTGATAATTAATGTTGTTTTAATGTGTTGTATTGGCATGATTTTATTCTGCTTTTATAATTGTAAATATTGCGGCATCGAATCACTGCCATTGTGAGCCGCTCTGAGTCCCCCTGCAGGGGTGAGAAGAGCGGGGTAAGAATGATGTAAATAAATAAATAAAAATAATAAATAAAAATATTGATATAAAGGATAACCCGAGGATCTAAATTTATGTATAAAAAATTGTTGTTTAGGAACAAAAGACATAATAAAGAAAGGGATAACGGAGAAAACTTTTTAGAATAATTGGAAAAATACAAATTTATATTTTGATATCACCACCAAGAAGTAGAAGTAAAAATAAATAGAGAATGGACCGCTTCTTTCTTTCTTTCTTTCTTTCTTTTTCTTTCTTTCTTTCTTTCTTCTTTTCCTACTTTTCTATCCAATGCACATTGTTCCCCTACTTTTCATGTAACTATATACTTTTAATAAAAAATTAATTCCAACCCCCGCTCCCAAAAAAAACCATGCAAATGTGAGTAGATCAATAGGTACCACTCTGGTGAGAAGGTAACGACTGGCCACATGACCTTGGAGGTGTCTACAGACAACGCCGGCTCTTCGGCTTAGAAATGGAGATGAGCACCAACCCCAAGAGTCAAACACAACTGGACTTAATTTCAGGGGAAAACCTTTACCTTATCCTATACACCAGTGGTTCTCAGCCTGTGGGTCGCCAGATGTTTTGGCCTTCAACTCCAGAAATCCTAACAGCTGGTAAAATGGGTTGTTGTAGGTTTTTTCGGGCTATATGGCCATGTTCTAGAGGCATTCTCTCCTGACGTTTCATCTGCATCTATGGCAAGCATCCTCAGAGGTAGTGAGGTCTGTTGGAACTAGGAAAATGGGTTTATATATCTGTGGAAAGTCCAGGGTGGGACAAAGGACTCTTGTCTGTTGGAGCTAGTTGTGAATGTTTCAACTGACCACCTTGATTAGCATTTGATAGCCTGGAAGTGCCTGGAGCAATCTTTTGTTGAGAGGTGATTAGATGAACATGATTGTTTTCCCTCTGCTGTTTTGCTATTTTAATTTTGCTGGTAAAAAGGCTAGGATTTTTGGGAGTTGTAGGCCAAAACACCTGGGGACCCACGGGTTGAGAACCACTGCATACACACACATATACATACACACACACACACACACACACACACACACACACAGCTGCTTTGAGACTTTTGTAAGGCGTCCTTAAGCTGCGGCCCTCCAGCAGTTTGGGACTCCAACTCCCAGAAGCCCTACCCAGTTGATTCAATGCTCAGGACTTCTGGGAGTTGAAGGGCCACAGCTTGAGGAGCTGCCTGCTTTGGAGAAACCTTGACGACTAGTACTAATGCTGCTTCAGGGCAGGAGGCGCGCCTCTTCCGCAGTGGCTTGAGCTTCCCTCCCTCGTTCGCTCGCGGGAAAAAAAAGGGGGCTCGGCGTCAGAGGCGGGCGGAGGAGAGGCTTCCTTCTGCTCCCTCCTTCCTTCCTTCCTTCCTTCCTTCCCTTCCTCCCGGTTGGCCTCGCCCTCCAAATGCGCGCGGAGGACGGTAAGGTCCGCCTGCAGCCTCGTTCCCCTCTCCGCCTCTCTTGTCTTTTCTCTTTCTCTCTGTCTCTATCTTCGGGGCTCAACTTCGGAAGGCGCGCGCTTTCGCTCTCCTCCGCTTTGTTCCCTCGCGCGCGCGCGCGCGCGCCTAAACCTGGGAGGAGCCTCGTGCCATTCAAGCAATCCCTTTCCCCGGGCTTCTTTTGGCGCCTTGAGCAAAGGCAGCAGAAAGAAAGGGAGAGGAGGGGGGTGCGTCTCCACCAAGCATGGACAAACTTGGGCCCTCCCTCCAGGTGTTTTGGACGTGGGCTCCCACCATTCCTAACAGCCTCAGGCCCCTTCCTTTTCCCCCGTCAGCCGCTTAAGCGGAAAAGGAAGGGGCCTGAGGCTGTTAGGAATGGTGGGAGCCCACGTCCAAAACACCTGGAGGGAGGGCCCAAATTTGCCCATGCCTAGGTTAGCATGAATAGCATAGGGAATAGTATGTATCCCTGCGCAACAGCAGACATGGAGTCTCTGCAACTTCTTCATTATGCCCTTGGAGAGCATGGTGTTGTTTATGTGTGAATTATATTTCAGTACTTCTAGTGCAATGGCTTATCAGGCTCCTGTTGGAGTTCAATTCCCTTGTACAAAAGGGTTATGACTGTAAAATAAGATCACCAAAGAGATTAGTACAGATTAAGCATCCCATAGCCAATCCCCAAATTCTAAATACTCCATAATTATTCATACATGAGGCTGAGACCCCATCTACACTGAGTAAAGGTTTCCCATTAAGTCTAGTTGTGTCCGACTCTGGAGGTTGGTGGTCACTTCCATTTCTAAGCCAAAGAGCCGGCGTCCGTAGACCATCCCAAGTTCATTTGGCCAGCATGACTGCATGGAGTACCGTTACCTTCCTGCAGAAGCGGTACCTATTGATTTACACACACATGCATGTTTTCGAACTGCTAGGTTGGCAGAAGCTGGACCCAACAGGAGCTCACTCAGCTCCCCGGATTCCAACTGCCAACCTTCTGGTCAGCAAGTTCAGCAACTCAGTGGTTTAAGCAGCTGTGCCACCAGGGGGCCCAAGGCCCCATCTATATACTATATAATCCAGTTTCTGAATGCAGATCATTCTGAATGCAGAAAGGAGATTCCACCTGAAAATGAGGAAGAACTTCCTAACTGTGAGAGCTGTTCAGCAGTGGAACTCTCTGCCCCAGAGTGTGATGGAGGCTCCTTCTTTGGAGGCTTTTAAACAGAGGCTGGATGGCCATCTGTTGGGGGTGCTTTGAATGCGATTTTCCTGCTTCTTGGCAGAATAAGGTTGGCCCATTGGGTCTCTTCCAACTCTATGATTCTATGATATGCTTTAAACTTTCTGATATGAGTCTACACTGCCGTATAATCCATTTTGAGAGCAGATAATATGCATTCAGAAACTGGATTATATGGCAGTGTAGATGGAGCCTGAGGTATAATATATTGTATATACATATAATATTTATAATATTATAATGTAATACAATATAATACTACTACTAATAATATGATATTATAATTATATATTTATATTACATGAAATATTACTAATAATATTATAATAAAATGGTATAGTACCGTATAGTAATAATTAATACTGATATTATACTATGCTAATAATATTAGATATTGTATATTGTGAGCCGCTCTGAATCTCCTTTGGGGTGAGAAAGGTGGCATATACATTCTGTAAATAGATAAATAGTGACACCTTTGCTTTCTGATGGTCATTGTGCACAAACTTTGTTACATGTTAACAGTGATTCAAACCAAGTATATACAGTGTCTATGAAACATCAGTGAATCTGCATTTTAGACTTGGTTATCATCTCCAACGCACCCTATTATGTACATATATTCAAATAGAGGTAATCCAAAATCCGGGGGGGGGGGGGAGAGAGAGAAGTAAAATACATCCCAAGCATTTTGGATAAGGGCTAAATAAAGATAAACGTTTCCCGTGACATTAAGTCTAGTCGTGTCTGACTCTGAGGGGTAGTGCTCATCTCCATTTTTAACCCGAAGAGCCGGTGTTGTCCGTAGACACCTCCAAGGTCATGTGACCAGCATGACTGCATGGACCACCGTTCCCTTCCCACTGGAGCCATACCTATTGATCTACTCACATTTGCATGTTTTCGAACTGCTAGGTTGGCAGAAACTGGGGCTAACAGCAAGAGCTCACCCCGTTACCCAGATTCAAACTGCCAAACTTTCAGTAAGCAAGTTCAGCAGCTCAGCAGTTTAACCCGTTGTGCCACCGCCCCCTCCAATTATGTATATATATGCAAATGGAGGGGGGGGGAGAATTAAAATACATCCCAAGAATTTTAGATAAGGGATACTCAACCTGTAAACCTCATTTGTTGCAAGTTTCCAATTCAGAATTAAAATCAATAAAGGAAGAAAAGAAGGAATATGTTGTGACAGAAAGACAATAAAAGCCAGATCTAATATGCCAATGATCTAATGGTCAAGTCAATGTGGCCAACCAGATGTCTTGGAAAGTTCAGCTAGCAAGGCATTATGGGTATTATTCCACTCCACCTGTGGGCTCTGATTCCAAGGAAAATGCACAATAGGGTTCATTAAATGAGTTTGGTGCTTTACAAGAAAAACTTTTATGTTTGCTCCTGCTGCACCATTTTTCATTCTGTAAGTTTATCTCCTGTAGTAATCTTTTGTAGCTATCCTTGCCTGTGATGCAGGGATGTGCATTTTTGTGAATTTGGTAACGAGTAAATGTGCTGTACAAAAAATCCCTGACTTTTCAAGAACTACACAATTTTCAAGGACCGTTCACAGTCTGCGTTCTATTCTTCGCAAAAGAAAACATGTATATATTCTGGAAACTCACTTTCTGAAGAGAAAGTGCTGTTTTATATTACGAGTTAAGATAATACTAATCTGGACTTTTTCTCTCTCTCTCCAGAAGAGAATGGATTGTTAACAGTTCATGTTGCTGACCTAACTTCATTTTCTTGTAATTGTAGGATCATTATGGCTCTGAATACGGATCAGATAAACCTCATTGGTCAGGTGTTTGAGTCGTATGTTTTGGAACACCACAAAAATTATATCTTGCAGATTTTAGGAGAAAAAGATGATGATGCCCATTACCCAGTTATTGTCGACGCTCTAACGCTTTTTGAGACCAATATGGAAATCGGTGAATATTTTAATGCAGCCCCCAATGAAGTGCTTCCCATTTTTGATAGTGCGTTGCGCAGGACAGCCGTGACCGTCTCTCAGTCCATCTCTCAAGATCATGGTTTCGTCATTAAGCAGAATCTTCATGCCAGAATATCCGGTAAGGCACAATTCCTTAGGGCAGTATTGTGAAAAACTTCTCTGGGCGTCACCATTATTAATGATCCCAACATTAATTGATTGTGTTATATGGGTTGAGAATCCCTTATCCAGAATACTCCAAATTTTACGACATCGGTGGCTAAGATAATGTACACAAGCAGGCCTGTAGCCGGGGAGGGGGGGAGGGGTAGAGGTTCAAACCCTAACCACCACCCCCCCCAAGAAAAATTTTCTGGCTACGACCCTGTACAGAAGTGTTCCTTCCTCCACTCAATTATTTTAAAACATTGTGTAAAATTACCTTCAGACTATGTGTATAAGGTGTATATCAAAAATAAATGAATTATGTCTTTGGACATGGGTCTCATCTCAAAGACATCTCGTTATCTACATGTCTGCAATACAATTATTCCAAAATCTGAAATAATTCTAGTCCCAACCATTTGAGAAAACGAATACTCAACCTTTATAGTATATTATCTGTTGTAGTACTATAGTATAACTATGTAAGTGTCTACAGTAGACAATTACAGCTGTTTGATTCCACTTCAATTGATGGCTTTCTTTTACTAAACCCTGGGATTAGTAATTCAGTGTGGTACTTAGAATTCTCAGTTAAAAAACATCTAGTCTTCAGTTCCCAAGATGCCCCTGGAAGTTGGAAGAAGGAAGGATTCTATAGTGAAGGTAAAAGGTGAATGTTTTCCCCTGACATTAAGTCCAGTCGTGTCCAACTCTGGGGTTTGGTGCTCATCTGCATTTCTAAGCCGAAGAGCCGGCGTTGTCCATAGACACCTCCAAGGTCATGTGGCCAGCATGACTGCATGGAGCACCGTTACCTTCCCGCAGAAGTGGTACCTATTGGTGTATTCACATTTGCATGTTTTCGAACTGCTAGCTTGGCAGAAGCTGGGCCTAACAGCAGGAGCTCACCCTGCTCCCAGGTTCAAACCACCCACTTTTTGGTCAGCAAGTTCAGCAGCTCAGTGGCGTAACCCACTGCGCCACCAGGGCCCCAAATTTCTGGCATCCCAGAAAATGAGACACTGAATATATTTTAAACCTAGAACCTGCTTTGTTTACATTCCATAGGTAGCTATGGCTTCCCCATTTCTATAGATGCCTAAATTGTACTTCTAAATTATCAACTGAAATTTTAATGTACTGCTAGAAATTTGGAAGCAGAAGGAAAATCTCATGGGAGAGCCATTTTCTTTCTTTCTGAGGTGTGTGCTAATAAATCTTGCCATCTCCTAGATTTTGGGGGGAAATTGCATTGCTGTCTTTGATTGTAAATTATTTCACTGTCATACTACATTTATTCTTTGATCAATGGCCTCATTATTTCTCCTCTAGGCTACTATATTCCTTTCCTCAGTGGGCTTCCTGTGTTGGATATTTTCATATGTTTTGTTGAACAAATAACAAAAGAAGGCAGCCTCTCTGATTGTTCAACTACTTATATATATTTACTTTTAGGTACCAATTGTCTGCTTGTCTAATGCTGTGTCTGACAGTTATGCCAAAAAGATGTGCAGTGGTACATTGAAGCTCTGTAACGCTCTCTGGCTGGAGGTACAGAAGCTGCGCTTTAAGAAGGTCATAGAGTTTAGGCCTATTAATAGGGGGGGAAAAGATGCTGCAGGCCAAATTGTCAGAAAACACAAAGCTCTTCTTAATTTCTGTAGGGAATATAAAACATCCAAAGTAGCCTTCCTAGCATAAATAAGAGCTCTTTTAGGAGGAGAAATTAGCAATTATTTTGTTTTTCTGACTCATAGGTGGAAGAATATATTTGTTACAAAAACAAAGTGTATTTTGAAAGCTCTTTCTATACAGTCACTTAATGGTTACCTCCCCAAAATGTGAGAGCTTAGTACATTATTAGTTTGACATCTGCCTCTGAGGATTTATGGTGCCCCTCGTTTGTGTTATTCTCAAAAATGTGTTTACATTTCCTATAGTGTAATGAGCTTCATGTGCATAGATACTATTCATATGTGTCCTATGAAATCCCTAGTTCTTAAATTTGTATAATCTTCAAAGGTAAAGGTAAAGGTTTCCCTTGATGTTAAGTCTAATTGTGTCCGACTCTGGGGGAAGGTGCTCAGTTCCTTTTCTAAGCCAAAGAGCCAGCGTTGTCCATACACGCCTCCTTGGTCATGTGGCCAGCATGATTGCATGGAGCACCGTTACTTTCCCACCAAGGCAGTACCTGTTGATCTACTCACATTTGCCTGATTTCGGACTGCTAGGTCGACAGAAGCTGGGGCTAACAGCGGGAGCTCGCCCCACTCCCGAGATTCAAACCACCCACCTTTCAGTCAATAAGTTTAGCAGCTCAGCATTTTAACCCACTGCGCTACCGAGGACTCCATGTGTATAACCTTACTTAGGTGGAAAATACTCCAAACGAGGATTGAGAATTTTTCAGCAGATATCACTCCCATTGAACTCAGTGGGATTTGTTTATGAACAGGAATTTGGAGCGCTTTCTAAACACTGCATTTTACTGAACTATTGAATTTTATGGTTGTATGACATAACTAATACACTTGTTCGTTAGTGTGTGTGTGGAAAGGTACTTTGATTAATTTTGTCACTTGTTCTTTCCTTTCCATGGTTGGATATTTTGATTTAATGTATATCTTGCCTTTCTCCTACAGGAGACTCAGTAGATAATAGAGTGATAGATAATAAACAGTGGACTAGATATCTAGTACAGTTGGTAAATGTGTATGTGAGAACTTGGGTATCTATCCCTTGGTGCCCTTCCTGAATGATGTTACATCTGAGTTACAGACTCTGAGCAGTGGTGGGACCCTAGCTATAAAACCAGTTATGAAAGCAATAGCATGGCCTGGGCTACAAGAAGACACATCCCACTGCTTGCACAACCAGAAAGAATACGACTAGTATACTTTACTATCATTTCAATGGATTTAGGTAAATGGGTTCCTACTCCGCCCTGAGTCCCTAATCCGCCCTGAGTCCCATTGGGGAGATTATTATTATTATTATTATTATTATTATTATTATTATTATTATTATTATTTGCTTACTTGCATGTCGCTTCTGGTAGCTTCTAGAGTGAGAGAATCAGCTGTCTACGAAGACGTTGCCCAGGGGACGCCCAGTTGTCTTGCAATCCTGCGAGGAGGCTTCTCTCATGTCCCCCATTATTATTATTATTATTATTATTATTATTATTATTGTTGTTGTTGTTGTTGTTGTTATTACTACTCTGTATCGCTATTTTTTTACCTTTGTACAGTTTGTCAGTGATGCAATTGAAGCTATGGTTTCTTGGCTTGACAAGCATTTTCTGTGTGCTATTTCAACAGGTTTACCTGTTTGCCCAGAGCTAACCAGAGAACACATCCCAAAAACCAGAGATGTTGGACACTTCCTTTCGGTCACTGGCACGGTGATTCGTACCAGCTTAGCTAAAGTTCTGGAGTTTGAACGGGATTACATGTGTAACAAGTGCAAGCATGTTTTTGTGGTCAAGGCCGATTTTGAGCAATACTACGCTTTCTGCCGCCCGTCATCCTGCCCTAACAAAGAAGGCTGCAACTCATCCAAGTTCACTTGTCTCTCTGGAACATCCTTTGCTCCCAGCAGTTGCAGAGACTATCAAGAAATAAAGATACAAGAGCAGGTTTCAAATTTTTTTTAATTATTACTATGAATTTGCTGTGGAATAGGGGATAAATGTTAGATGCAATGATAAGTGTTTTCATTATCATCTGCACGTTTTCCTCTAGTGCTGTATAGTTATAATGTGCCTTCAGATCAATCCTTTTTTCTTGGCAAAATTTATTTCAAGGAGTCTGTGATTGCCTTATTCTTATGCAGAGAAAATGTGACTTCTCTCTCAAGGCCATCCAGTGGGCTTCATGGCTGAGTGGGACTCATATGGGGTCTTAGTCCAAGACTTAAGTCACTAGCTTCTGTGTAATACTGGCTATTTCCTGGATAACTGACAGGAGGAGATGTAGCCTTGTTTAAATGGAGCTGTATTCGCAGTGGGATATTCTTTCCTTTTCCTCCTCACTGCAAATCCCTGCTTCACCCAAAAATGGGCTCTAGCGGATCTCCTAGCTTTCCACAACCAGTTTTGGGGTGTAATGGATTGGGAAGATTGTCAACCCAGGTTTATTTGAATTGTGTTGGATGTTGTCTACTCCTAACATATTACATGAGTATTCCACAGTTCAGAATGGGAAGAACTCACAATAAGGATCACACAAGCAAAATATTTTTCCTCTGATGATTGCCACTCGCATGGATTCAAGAGCAGAAAAGTATTTCTTATTGTATAGAAATCATGCCAGAGATTGCAAATATACTCTGATAAAATGGCATTGCTATTTTCATCCCACTGGTTTCAGTCCCCTGTGCAATTTCATGCATGGTTCCAGAGGGTCCCCCAATACTTCAGAGGCAACTGAGGATTTTTATAGAACCATGTCTGTACATGAGGGATAGGTAAAAGGAGCCATTTAGTTCATTGGAGGCATATTACCTTTTCTGCCCCATATATATATATATATATATATATATATATATGTATGTATGTATGTATGTATGTATGTATATGTATATGGGGATGCAGTGGCGCAGCGGGGAAGGTTGGTGGTGCGAATCCGTGGGACTAGCCCAGCTTCTGCCAACCTAGCAGTTCAAAAACGTGCATATGTGAGTAGATCAATAGGTAGTGCTTCGATGGGAAGGTAATGGCACTCCATGCAGTCATGCCGGCCACATGACCTTGGAGGTGTCTACGGACAATGCCAGCTCTTTGGCTTTGTAATGGAGATGAGCACCACCCCCCAGAGTTGGACAGARCTAGACTTAATGTTAAGGGGAAACCTATATATATATATATATATATATATATATATATATATACACACACACACACACACACACACACACACACACACACATACACATATATACACACACACACATATATTCTCTATTGTTTGATTTTTAATGTAATTTTGTTTATTTATTTCTTTTTCCATTTTTAACAAAACAATAAGACATTTAGATTAAATCCTTGTGCTACAGCAAAATCTCATTTTGTTTCCTTTAATGRGGAACASTTTAGTTTTCATTATCTGTGGGTTAAATAAACCACAAACGACAGCACAGTTGGGTACTGCTGATTAATTGCTCTTTCTGTATACATATATTTCCAACCAATATAGAAAGCAGTGAATTAAGACAATCTACACACAAATTGCTGAGGCCCAAGGAGTGTTTCATCATCATTAACAACAAATGGTAGCATGTAAAAAAAAATCTGTCTGAGAGTGTCTGCAGAGTTCTTTTCAAGACTTTAGCTCAGATTCACAAGTATTGTTTTTCATGAAATAAAGTAAATTTCATGTTTCCAGGTTCAAAGGCTGTCTGTTGGAAGCATTCCTCGTTCTATGATGGTTGTTCTAGAAGATGACTTAGTTGACAGTTGCAAATCTGGTGAGTGCTGTTCGATTTCCTACAGAAAATATCTTTTTAGAATAATTTTTACTTGAGAAAGGAAAATGCGGGCTGCTATTTTAACTCAGCTGTTACTGTTGAAGTCCTGTCTGAGTGTATGAATGCAGCTGTCAGGATGCTTTGTTGGTGTTAAAATCACTGTTGTCATACAGCATGAAAAACTCATTGTCTTATGTCAAAGCATCAAACCATATAACTTCTGCCTCTTGAAATTTTTGAACCCTGAAATACTATTTTGAGATGTCTACAATAAGCACTGTGTGACACTCTAGCCTGCACTAAAATTTTCTAGGTTTCCAACCATTTTATTAAAACTTGTGGAATCTTGACTGGTTATTCTTGTTATTTTCTGTACTACAGTATAGGTGGAAAGAGAGGTAATTTGTCTTAACTTCATTGCTGATCTTAATGACCTTAAATGAATGAATTAAACCATCTTTATAGGCTTGCTGATTTCCCTGAAACTCTTCACAACTGTGTCTTTAATAGGATACAGCTTTAAAAAGAATCAACCTAATTTAAGTGGGTTGTTGTAGGTTTTTTGGGCTATATGGCCATGTTCTAGAAGCATTCTCTCCTGACGTTTTGCCTGCATGTATGGCAAGCATCCTCAGAGGTTGTGAGGTCCTCACAATCTCTGAGGATGCTTGCCATAGATGCAGGCAAAATGTCAGGAGAGAACGCTTCTAGAACATGGCCATATAGCCCAAAAAACCTACAACAAACCCAATGTGTACAGCCATGAAAGCCTTCAACAAAACCTAATTTAACTTATTAGAGTTCTGCAGGTTAAACTAAAGTAGTTTGCCAAGTAACCATAAGCTACCTCTAAATTAAATCTAAATTAACTTTTTTCTCTTTGGGAATCTGTGCCTTCAAACTTATTCTTCGGGGAATGCTATTATCAGAACATACAAAAACGCAGAGACTTATGGGTTGGGTAGGTGGTGCCATGGAAAGTTACTGGTTCACTTCCTCCAGGTCAATGGTTCTTAACCTGTGGTCCGCAGATCACCAGTGGGCCACGAGGTCGAAAATCTGGTCTGCGAGCCTCCTTCCTCTTTATTTTTTTAATCTTATCACTGCTCCTTTTGCACCGCCTGCCACTTCTTCCCTGTCGCTGACCAGCTCTGCCCCCTTGGATAGACCACATCAGCTCTAGATTATTAAGTATGGTTTTCTGTGGGTGAGTAGATGGTGACTTTTTGATGGCATGTTTTGTATCAGAAACTAGAACTGATGTGGTCTATCCAATGCAAATCTAAATTTGACCAAAAATTGATTCGTAACCTTTTTGGTATTAATGTTGGAGAGTCGTCCCTGGTCAAAGTGGTCCCTGGTCAAAATTAGTTTGGAAACCACTGCTCCAGGTATTTTGCCTATTAGTGTCTCTGGGGTGATTTTTCAGTTCCAAATGAGAAAGTGCCTGGAAAAGAAGATAGTGCAGGTCTATACAACTGGTAGTTGGAAAGCAAACAAAAAACTTCTCCGTGCCACTCCTCCTCCTTCCCTTCATACTTCATCATGATTGGCTGTAACTCATCACATGACCACCAGTTTGCCCTGTCCCCTTCACTGGTTGGCCTCTGCCTGCCTTCAATGGGCCTCAGGGTACTCCTTTGCAGGCCGCATTTGGCCCTAGGCTCTATGTTGTACAGGCCTGGAATAGAGCATACTCAGGAATACACAAGAACTGTACCATGCTCCCTTTAATTAACAGCTACTCTCATTATCTCTGCTGACAAGGCCTTGTTTGTTGCACACTGAAAACATAAGGACTGTCACGCTGGTCTAGTCCAGCATTTTATCTACTTTGTGGCTGACCACGGTTTTGGACCTGCCTATCTTCATGATCACATCTTCCCCTATGAACCAGTGCATGCCCTGAGATCTTCTGAGGAGCGACTGCTCTCTCTTCTGCCACTGTCCCAAGTTCGGTTGGTGGGGACGAGGGAGAGGGCCTTCTTAGTGGTGGCCCCCCAATTTTGGAACTCCCTCCTTAGGAAAATCAGACAGGCTCCCAACTTGTCCTCTTTTTGGAGCGAATTAAAAACCTGGATGTTCCGCTGTGCTTTTGATTAGGCAATCCACCAGAAAACTGTCCTATCCCTACTTTAAATTCTGCACCGCATTTTGTCCCTTTTATCGGCTACCTCAACATTTTCGACAATAGTATCCCCAGCCCTTGTTCATTTGATTTTGACACCTTCCATGGGCTCCTTTTAGGAATTTTGCACTCATTGAGCCTGAACTCAGCTATGTTCCCTTTATCCCAGCCATATTGTTTTATGATGTTGTTTTATGACTGTGTTGTTTTATTATTTTATTGATTGATTTTAATTGTGTCTCTGTTTTATTTGTAATTTTTGGGCTTGTCTCTTTGTAAGCCACCCCAAGTCCCCTAGGGGAGATGGTGGCAGGGTATAAAAATAAAGTTACTATTATAATATTATTTATGAGAAGAGGTCCACCAGCATGACAGGAATGTTCTTCGTCTCATATTTTCTGTGTCAGATATTGAGAGACAGTTTTTCTGGTACTAGAGGGCATATATAGCCATTATAACCAGTAGCCACTAATGAATCTCACTTCAATGCATTATCCAATTCCCTTGTAAAGCCTTCCAAGTTGACAGCCCTCATTATATCTTAGGGCTGTTAATTCCACAGTTTTAATTATGTCTCTGTGGTGTCTCTGTGCTGGGAGGTAGATTCTTGTTATATTGAACTCTTTCATCTCTTTAGGTTTTTGAGAGCTCAACAAAGGTTTGTTTGGAGAATCTTACCCTCCAAGATGTGCTCCCCTTTCCAAGGAAGGTAGTGGCAGCATTTGGCTTTCAGCTGTAGAGACAGGATGATGTAGAAGTCTTTGAAACGTCTTTGCAAATCATGTGTTGTCTTATCAGGTGGAACTCCTCCATGTTAAGAATTATGATGGTTCATTTTTATTAACCTTTACAAAGAACCTAAACCAGCTGTCAGAATTGAAGACTCTTAAGTCACAACTCTTCCGGCAGGACTATCCAGTTGATGTTATGTTGTGAATTATAACCTGCATTTTATTGGTAACTTTTAAGCTATGTGCTGTATTTGAGATTATCTATCTATCTATCTATCTATCTATCTATCTATCTATCTATCTTTGTTTTCCTTCGTTGTATGAATTATTATTTGGTACACAACAAGATTAGTACACAGCAAATAAGATCACTATGCTGACTTTTGTATTTGATCACACTTTGGACACTTCCCAAGTGTCTAGGACTGTGTGATATATTGGCAAATTATTCGTGCAGATCCAAGTAGGGTGGGCTTTTGCAGCTAACCAATGGTAATTTTGTCAGCGCCAATTGTTTTTAAGTGAAGGCCAAGGTCTTTAGGGACTGCACCCAGTGTGCCGATCACCACTGGGTCTACCTTTACTGACTTGAGCCAGTCTTTGCAGTTTTGTCTTTAAATCCTCATATCATGTAAGCTTTTCCAGTTGCTTCTCGTTAATCCTGCTGTCGCCTGGGATTGCAACATCGACAATTCATACTTTGTTTTTTTCCATGATCATGAGGTCAGGAATATTGTGCTCCAAAGCTTTTGGCAATCTGAATTCAGAAAATTGTTGTTGTTATCCTCTGGGACAAGTAAAAAAATGTAATGATTTTATGGATACATTATTTCTTTATATATCTAGAATTTATTCATATGTGATATTGTGCATAAGGAAACTTCATATTCACAGACATAGATGTGCAATAGTATTACAACAATTCTCTTTTTTTTTCCCACAGGTGATGACATAACAGTTTATGGAATAGTAATGCAGAGGTGGAAACCTTTTCACCAAGATTCACGCTGTGATGTGGAGATTGTTTTGAAAGCCAATTATATTCAAGTAAACAATGATCAAATGACAGGAGTTATAATTGATGAGGAGGTCCGGAAGGAATTTGAAGATTTTTGGGAAAAACATAGGAATGATCCCTTAGCAGGTATGTGAAAAGGACAAAGCAGTATATGTAACTTTCTGTGCCAAAAGACAGGCAATGTGTCGTGAAATTTTATTCCCTGGTGTGAGAATCAATGCATAAGAGGAGGGAATTCATTCTGTTATATCTCTTTGCCAGTAAAATCAGCATGAAGAGATTGTATGGAAGGGGATAATGACAGGAAGAAAACAGGAAAGGAGATGACAAACCTTGTTTCATTCTTAATGAATGAATGGTTTATTGTACCAGCCATCACATCAAATAATACAACCTGTTTCATTCTTAATAGAAAGAAGGGGGGGGGGAGTTAGTTGTGTGCTTTGTGTGTAATATATGGCATCTACTTCAATTTCAGAGTAGTTTTTATTTTATCTGATGGATCAAGTGCTCTATCCCTCAGGATTGGTGGGTCAGGAAGGATTATCCTAGAGACTGCTGCAGCTGTGGAAAGCAAAAAACGAGTTCTGGGCAAAGATTAGTTAGTTGGGCGGTCCCTCATAGCCTGAGGATGATGGTCCTCCAATTGTAGTGTCTTGGTGGTCGGTCCGTAGATGGCTGTGGAGGCCTATTCTTGATCTGCATGTTCTCCTGCAGTGAGGGCATCTGTTTCCAGGTAGAAGGTGGTACCGATCAGTGTTGGCTTGATGCACCTTCCTCTTGGCATGTTTTTCCCTTTCGCCCTCCATCCATCCCTCTTCAAATTCCACAGCACTGCTAGTCACAGCTGACCTCCAGTTAGTGTTTGACCAAGGAACAGAAACAGGAAATGGGCATTTGTATATGTGATAAATACATCATGTCATGTAGTGTCTCCAATGAAGAGCATGCCTCCAAAGATGCAGGCTGACACTCTACCTATGCAGTCTCTAACTCATTCCAGTGGAAAGACCAGATCTGTGCTTTGATTCTTCCAGGAAAGCATGGCTTTCTAGAGGTTATTGCTTTCCACCTTCTGTCTGCCCTTCCCAGTATAGTTAATGGGGAAGGTAAGGGAAGTGTTTCCCCCCAACATCTGAGAGCCACTTGTTGGCCTGATAGGTGTATTGTGTCTGAATTTGGTGTCAATTCGTCAAGTGGTTTTTGAGTTATGTTAATCCCACAAACAAACATTACATTTTTATTTATATAGACAAGACCAAACCACATAAAACAGAGCTGTCTCTTGAAAATTTCTCAACTTTAATGCAAGGAGAGCAGTGGACGGGTAGAATTAACAGGCTTGTTTGTTTCAGATTTGTTTGTCTTATCTGCTGTCATTTTCTCCTTTCACTCCTTTTCAGGCAGGAATGAGATCTTAGCAAGCTTGTGCCCTCAGATTTTTGGCTTGTATCTCGTGAAGCTGGCTGTAGCCATGGTCCTTGCAGGCGGCGTACAGAGAACAGATGCTGCGGGCACGCGGGTTAGAGGTTAGCAAACAACGCTCCTTTTCCTTCTTATTCCCACTCTGTGAAAGGTGCTCTTTATTATCCCTGAACGTGTAAGATACTCCCAGTAGCACTTTCACATTAAAAGAGAAATCATCTACCTTAGTGTCCCTTTGATAAAGTAGCTCTGCTAAACTTCAAAATATCACAAAACGGAATGTCGTATTTAAGTAAACAATGAGCAAATGACAAGAGTTATAATTGATGGAAAACAAACAAAAAAAATAATAAAAAGGACAGAAACAAAACCAGCAACTTTCTGGTTTTTCTGGATAGGCCAATACAACATCTAAAAACAAAACCAAATCAAAAAGATGAAATCTTGGCCTGAATTTGTTTAGACGGTAACACATGTTTATGCTACTCATTTCATCCTCTCAGTTATGAATGCATCAGTTTAGGTTCCACATTCATAATTGCTGTGACATGGCTATCTTTCTTATAATTAACATTTTCTTCACAAATAAAAATGCATCTTCTTGAAGTATTTTCTTTCAGTGTATCTAATAAAACATAAAATTATGTTTACTGTTATACTCTTTATCTCAACCCTTCACACACAATTTATCCTTCTTTCTTTAAATCTTTATATATTTTTAAACTGCCCATCATGTATAGTATAATGTATTTCACACTGTAATAATTCAGTCAGAATGACATTTTAACCACTTGAAACAAACAGCTGTTCATGTATCTGTCGATAAATAAATCACCATTCCTCTCTTCTTTTGCAATACTATTTTTTAAGATTGACACCATTAATATATGCTCTAAAGATAATGTATATCTTGTCACAATTTCATTTTAGTGTATAGAAGACAGCCAATATATTCTACTTCTAGGGCTATATTGATATTTAAACTCCTGCTCTTGATGAGTTATGCAGAAAACAAACATTGGGTTGCTGTGACTTTTCTGGGCTATATGGCCATGTTCCAAAAGCATTCGCTCCTGACATTTTGCCCACATCTGTGGCAGGCATCCTCAGAGGTTGTGAGGTCTGTTGAAAACTAGGAAAAATTGGTTTCTATATCTGTGGAATGTCCAAAGTGGGAGAAAGAACTCTTGTCTGCTGGAGGCAAGTGTAAATGTTGCAATTAACCTCTTTAATTAGCATTGACTAGCCTTGCAGCTTCAAAACCTGGCTACTTCCTGCCTGGTGGAATCCTTTGTTGGAAGACATGAGCTAGTCCTAATTGTTTCCTGTCTGGAATTCCCTTGTTTTTTTAGTGGTGTTCTTTCTTTACTGTCCTGATTTAGATTTTGTTCATTTTTATGGTTTTCTCCTTTCTGTTGAAATTGTCCACATGCTTGTGTATTTCAATGGCTTCTCTGTGTAGCCTGATGTGGTTAGAGTGGTCCAGCATTTCTGTGTTCTCAAATGATATACTGTGTCCACTTTGGTTCATCAGGTGCTCTGTTATGGCTGACTTCTCTGGCTGAGTTAGTCTGCAGTGCCTTTCATGTTCATTGAAAGCTCTGCATTAGCTGTATAATGCCTGTGGGTGAGACTTCATATTGGCTACAGTGCATGAAAACTGATTTGTTTCAGTGGACAGAACGGATGAAATGCAAGGAGCAGATGGATAAGATCTTTCCATGCAATGGGTCTTCAGGTAGCTTTGGAAATGCATTTCCTTTGAATAATAAAAGTCTAAATAGGGATTGTGCTAGGTTCATTGTTCCTTAGTTCAACTCTTGGTTTGACTCCTTATTCCATGTACATTTTAGAAAACATTTGTACATTTGTTTCTTTGCAAGGTGAATCTCATCTTTTATTGGTTGGAGACCCTGGGACAGGAAAATCTCAATTTCTGAAATATGCAGTAAAGATTACGCCACGATCTGTGCTTACAGCAGGAATTGGATCTACCAGTGCAGGTAAATAGAGATATCATATTAAATAAGATATCTTTGTTTTTGTCCAATTCGATTTCTTCATCTGTTAGCCCCAGCAGGAAATACATGCCCTGTGCATATAGCACAAAGCTAATTTTAAACACATTTTTAAAATATTTTTCTTTGCATGAAATAAAACTTGTGTACATTGAACCTTTAAAAAGCAAAGGTGTCACTTGGATAATTGTAGATTTTGGAATATTTTAGATTTTGGAATTCCAGGTAATGAACTTAACCTGTATTCCCAAAACTCATGGCTTCTGCCCCCAGCAGTTCAAAATAAATAAATACATAATTAACTCTCCAACTATGTGATTTACTGACTTTTCCCAAGCTGCTGTATCACATTCTGCAAGCCAATACATTATTGCCCTCTTGATTCCTGAAAACCCCTATTGACTGAAAACCCAATGACAAAAGCAGCTGATACAGAGGCCTTTAGTCTGTCATCTCTCCTTCCTACAGCATATGTTAAGATAGTGTTATTAAAGTGGCAGCTAAGATGTCACTTATGGACCTTGCTTCTGAAACAGAGGCAATCAGTACATATACTTGAAGGGATTACTTGTTACCTGTGGGTAAACTGAAGTTGTCCCCCCCCCCCTTACATTGCAAGGTGGAAACAAATATATATATATTAATAACAAAGCTTCAGGATTATTTAAAAATAGTTTTATTTATACAGCCACTCAAATATTTTTTCCTTATAAATTTTCTACAGACGGTGGGGTGTTTTGAAAGAAATTATTCACATTGGTTTGAATGAGGAGATAGGTGCAAGGTGATGGTTGCCTTGTGTGTGTGTGTACAGCTCAAAAATACATACAGAGCAAAGCACTGAAGGGCAGACGGTCACATGCAGTCCATATGAGATTCTAGCATGACATTCAATGAATTTTCCGACGTTGACCACCCTTTTGAAGCCGAAGGCAGTGCGTCTGTAGAAAGGAGTGTTTGAAGATTTGGGTTGCTACTCTCTGCGTCTGTCAGTTTGTCCGTGTTGTCCTCCCAGTTAATGTGGAATCTTGTGACTCTAGGATTAGATGCCAAAATATTCCTTTGGAGCTGGAAAACAAGGGGATTAAAGAGTATTTAGGAATAGTACCAGGTATTGGAGATTCCTGAAACAGATCTTCACAATTTCAGTACAGGAGAGAGAAGGAAGAATGTAGCTGCTAATGTTGTAGTACAGAGATGAGCAAAGAGTGGCCCCAAAGTCACATTCGATCCGAAAGACCTTTTCTCCTTCATGGTCGCCATGAAATGCACACACCCATATCTATACCATATGTGTGAATTTCATGGGTGACCACTTGGAGGAACATGGTTACAGGTAAGCAGCCATTCCTCTTCTCTTTCATGGTCCCCATGAAATGCAACATATGATATACATATGGATATGCGAATTTCACAGGTGACTACTTGGAGAAACACGGTTACAGGTAAGCAACCATTCCTTCTAGCCCTTGTCCTTTCCCTCCAGACTCCACTTTTACTGGTGAATTGCCATTGTTGGTTCCAAGTGCACCAATGAACCGTTGAATAGGTTACAAAGGTTACTTGCACTTTTAAATATAGTTTTTAAAAAGGAAAATTAGTAATAGACTTCAGTGTGTATGTACTGCTTGTGGGGTCTCAGAGGCAAAAAAACTGGCCCCAAAGTACATCACAGTTATCCAATTGTGCTGGAACATTGTTTGGCTTAATGAGCAAACCCTAATGCTGCAATGGTGCTTACAGGAACCTCTTGAATAAGTGAAAACAGGAGTATAGTCCCTTCTCCCTCACCCACACCTCAACATCAAAACTTGCTCCAAAGCACCAAGAAGCTCTATGGAGCATTAAAAAAGGCCCAAAATCCCAATAGTGTCAGGCTAAATTTAGACCATGAAAGAAGGTTTTTTAATTGTGTTGGAAGCAAGTTGAGAATATATTGCAAGTCGCTTCTGGTGTGAGAGAATTGGCCGTCTGCAAGAATGCTGCCCAGGGGACACCTGGATGTGTTATCATCCTGCGGGAGGTTTCTCTCATGTCCCTTGCAGATTCAAGCCGCCGACTTTCAGGTCAGCAGTTCAGCCGGCACAACAGTTTAACCCATTGCACCACCAGGGCTCCTTATAATACTGGCAAAATATTACAATCGTTTCAATATCAAAAACAAGTAAATTCTAAATAGGTAGCTTGCTCCCCTTAATCAAGCAGAGAAATAGGGTGTCAAAGAAGGCTCAAGTACTACCTGCTCCAGCTAATGCTGGCATATAGCTACTAACATATTATCCTCCCTTCACAGAAGCTGACTGTCATTCTACTATATATAGAGTGATAGAATCATGGAGTTGGAAGAGACCAATGGGCCACCTAGTCCAACCCTCTGCCATGTATATAACATACCATCATTCGGGCCCATTAATTTCTCACACCATGAATCCTATTTTCTACTTAATGTCCTTGGCAGTTGTGGCCCAGATCTTCATACTCAAAAACTAAACAAACTATGGTGTTCCACTGTAAGAACTCATAGTAACTCAACTGTTAAAACTAACCATGGAGGAGCTCTTGCTGGGGCCTCACCTGACTTTACTGCCTCAGCAAAGGATCATAAATCATGTATATTTCCCATAAAGTTTCATTGTTATGCTGACAGCTATATGCACATTTTATTGTGCAAACTAAATGTTTAATGTTTGCTTAAAATTTAAAATCAGCTCTGTTTTGTCAACTTGTGTAATTTTGTAAACCAGTGCCACTACTCTAAATGCCAACACACATTATTTCAAATGGAATCAAACCGATACTGCCTGGAGCAAACAGAACAAGTAAGCTTAAATGCGAGACTAATTGTTGTAAGAGATCTGGACATATTTGTTTTGCCAGCTGAAATATTATAGTAAAACTCCTGGGTGCAGGAAAAGAGAACAATTCTTTCACTCTTGATTTTCTTTAAATTCTACTTTTAAAAAAAACCAAAACATAGCACACTTCATTTGTGAGGATAGCTATGTCCGTTTTGCAAGAGAAAAATTTTCTCTATACATGGCTCAGTAGCTATTATTCATACATTCCAATGTTAATCTCATATAATCTGGAGCCACTCCCAATCTCATACTGGGGCTGTGCTACTACACTATAGCTAATAACATTTTATATTAGATGCACCTGTAAAGTAATATTTTTTAAAAATATTTTATGAAGATGTGTAAAGTAATAGATTGGTACACAAGACAAAAAAGGATTGTATGGGTATATAGCTTAGAACAAACTTGGGGTTTTTTTCCAATTCAAGTATGTATAATTATAAATGAACAGGCTTCAAGGTAATATTACGAATGTATAAAGGCAGATTTGGGGGGCAACATTATGGATTTTGGTATAATCCATGGGTAAGTCAGGGCCCCCTGGTGGTGCAGCGGGCTAAACCGCTGAGCTGCTGAACTCGCTGACCGAAAGGTTGGCGATTCGAATCTAGGGAGTGGGGTGAGCTCTTGCTGTTAGCTCCAGCTTTTGCCAATCTAGTAGTTTGAAAACATGCAAATGTGGGTAGATCAATAGGTACCGCTTCTGTGGGAAGGTAACAGCGCTCCATGCAATCATGCTGGCCACATGACCTAGGAGGCGTCTACGGACAATGCCTGGTGGTCCACGGACCACAGGTTGGGATCCCCTATATATAGGAATAAGACACAGTAACTGATGGCTTCCAAAAGGGAGAGCAAGATATACTTATTGATGACTGCCCAAGATGAATTCAGATTTAGAACTCTTATTCTTTCAGACTTCCAAATACAAGTCACTTTTTTTGTTTAAGAAACCACTAGCTTGCTCGTGGGTTTCATTTCTTTTCTATTTGAATTAAATTTGAAGTACATTCATGTATGTCCTACCTTAGAAAAGTCTGGCTTTACTGGAGGATTTTCTCTCAGCTCTGTTTCCGTGTACTCATTGTTTACATAGTAGCCAACTCTAATAAATTCTTGACCTCTATAGGTGCAGGTGATTAATACAACTGTTACTCCTACGGCATCTGCATCAGGAATAAGTGCTGGATTAGGAGCGTCTGCCTGCAGCCAAATCAAACAAATAAAAGTTAGGAAAGTACTGAGAACATTTTTTCCACTTTTAAAATAAACAATTCATAATCTATCTCCTTGATAAAGACACTTAGCATGGTAAAAAAACATATGTGAATGGCCCAAATCCATCATATAAAAATTGCTTCTTGAATAATTTAACCTAATGTTGCATTTCTGTGTCTTGCAACTTGTGAGGCACTGGGCTCAGGCATTTAGATAAAATTTAAAACATATCTAAATTAGTTTTTAAATAAAGTCCTCACAAAAGAGCAGGTGGGGGAGGGAAATGGAGCTCTGAACATAATCCAAATCGAGGGGCTGAATCAATTAAAGAGTGCTTTGAAAAGTGATATATCTTTGTTTTTCAAGATGTGAATGGCTTGGAAGCCAAGTTGGGCCACCTGAAAGCTTATGTGTACACACACGCACAAAATATTAGAATACTTAAGTGGCCTAGCTAAACTTTCAATATCTCTGACAACAGGTCCCCAATATGCTATTGATATCCAATTAAGAGTTAAGCCATAATTATTAAAGCCAACATAATAAATAAATAAGCAAACAAAGTAGCTGGACAACATTAAATGCATGTTTGGAAAGGCTATCTCTGCCACTCACTCAACGTTAGAAAAAGAAGGCGCATGGACGGGAATCTTGTGGCTGTTCAGATATTCTTCAGCTGCAACTTCTATCACCACTAGGACACCTGAATACCTGGCGGGCACTGCCTCGCTTGGACTCTGGGGCTTAGGCGCTAATAATAATAATAATAATAATAATAATAATAATAATGAGTTGTTGTAGATTTTTCTAGAAGCATTCTCTCCTGACGTTTCACCTACATCTATGGAAAGCATCCTCAGAGGTTGTGAGGTCAGAAGAGAATGCTTTTAGAATATGGCCATATAGCTCAAAAACCCTACAACAACCCAGTGATTCTGGCCATGAAAGCCTTCAACAATACAATAATAATAACAGTAATAATTTCATTTTTGTACCCTGACTCCATCTCCCGGAAGGGACTCGGGGCGGCTTACACATGGGACAAAATGTCCACAAAACATCATAGAATCATAGAGTTGGAAGAAACCTCGTGGGCCATCCAGTCCAACCCCCTGCCAAGAAGCAGGAAAATTGGCTTCAAAGCACCCCCAACAGATGGCCACCCAGCCTCTGTTTAAAAGCCTCCAAAGAACGGGCCTCCATCAAAACAAAATAGTTCATTAAAAACAAAAAAAATACAATTATAATAAAACATAGCAAAGCATAACAATCAGATAAAACACCACCAAATAAAACAAAAGGGTATAAAACAAGGACACTAATCTACACTCACAATTTTAATGCAGTTTCAAACCAGTATTAAACGAAGTGTTTTTGCTATGCTGATGAATCCTGGAACCTGTCTGAGGCCTGGATGGTTATCACACAAACTACAGAGCACATTCAGAGCTTTCTTGGGTGTAATTTTGTGGGAGTTTGTTGTCTGGCCATCATAGTTTGATGCCAGTTTTGAACTGCATTAAATGGTCAGTGGAGATGAGGCCAAGATTGTCCTGTTCTTCTCGTTGCCTATCAGGTATTGGTGAAACACTGAAAATGCTCAGCTGCATTCTCTCCTCTGCAGAGAAACCATTGACTATTATTATCATAAAGAGTGATGCATCCAGACTTGCACATATGGGTTAAAGCTTAGATCTGCTAACCACTACAGTTATGTGATAAGTCTAAAGTTTTTGTGGACATTTAACATTAGAATTTGTGACCTGTCGCATAGTCATGTCATCTAAACATAATTCAGTAAGGCATAAGAGAAAACTTACCTGAAAAACAAACATATGCCTTCCCGCAGGTACAGGGCCCACCAAAACGGAATCTAAAACTTGGTCGTATTCCTCACTTTCTGCTGAGCCCACGTAGATGATTTTCCATTCCAAATCTACATTAGAAGACAAAAAACAACACGAAATTGTACTTGGAAGCTCCACAAGTATCAGAATTGACTTCTAGTGTCACTTTTCCCAATCCCTAATATGGCAATGTTTAAGCAAGAGAGGAAAAAAAGAGCTTGAGATTGTAAACATCTTTATCCAAAGACAAATCTTGAAAATCACTATTTCCAAAAATGTTTCTGCACCACTTAATTTTTGGGGGGAAGCTACATTGTTATTATTTACCTACTAATACTTTACCATTGGTTTCAGTCAAATCAAATGGAGCCTTCTGCTAATTGTACTTTAGCATGATCCATAAATATTCTGCCAGGTGTGGTGGCACCAGGTATTGGTTGTGTCCATACTGGTGAATTTATGCATTTTGTACCACTTTAACTGCAATGGTCGATTGCTATGGAATCGTGGGAATTGCAGTTTGACAGGGTCTTTAGCTTTATCTACACAGACTACAACTCACAAGTTTCCACAGCATTGAGCCATGGAAGTATGTGTGCCTGTGAATAAGCGTGTCTCTGTATGTGTGTGTCCACATGTCTGCAAGTAAGTCTGTGTCCACATGTCTGCACATAAGTCTGTGTCTGCATATCTAAGTTTGTGTCAGTATGTGTGCCTGTATATGTGCCTGCTAGTATCTGCATGTAAGTGTATGTGTGAGTGTTTAGATGTCTGTGTGTGTGTATTTGTATCTGTATATGTGTCAGTGTTTATTGCTACGTGTTTGCATGTAAATGTTTATTAATGTAAGTGTCTGTATAACTAAGTGTGTTTGTTTCTGTATAAGTGTGTTTGTATACCTTAAATGTGTCTGTGTAAGTGTGTCTCTGTGTGTTTGCATGTGTCTGTGTATGTGTCAGCGTTTCTCTGCATAAGTATTTCTGTGTGCAAATGTTTGTGTGTGTCAATGTATCCGTGTAAGTGTTTGTAACTGTGTTTGTATATATAAATGTGTGTGTGTGTAAGAGTATGTGTCCATGTATACATGTGTTTGTATGTAAGAGTGCATGTGTCAGTGTGTGTGTATTTGTCTCTGCATGTCTGTCAGTGTGTCTCTGCATAAGTGTTTCTCTGTGCAAATGTGTGTTAGTGTAAGTATACATGTGTCTGTGTAACTGTTTGTAACTGCATATATAAATGTGTGTCTGTATTAACAGTGTGTGTCCATATATAAGTATGTTTGCATGCAAGCGTATGTGTGTTTGTGTGTAGTTGGGTCTTTTTGTTAGTCAGTATTTCTCTGCATAAATGTTTCTGTGTGCAAATATGTTACCATGTCCACATAAATGTCTGTGTAACTATTGTGTGTGTGTGTGTATAAAAGTGTGCTTGCATATATAAACATGTGTCTGTACAAGTGTGCGTCCATGTATAAATGTGTTTGTGTGTAAGCATATATCTGTATTTGTGCCTTGTGTATTTGTCTCTGCATGTTTCTGTGTGCAAATGTATTTTTGTGTGTCTCTATAACTAAGTGTGTTTGTGTACAAGTGTGTTTGCATGTCTGTAAGTGTATTTGTGTTCTAGTGTTTGCATGCAAGCATGTGTGCTTGTGTCAGTGTTTGTCTCTGCATAAGTGTTTCTGTGTGCAAATGTGTTATTGTGTGTCTCTATAACTGTGTTTGTGTACAAGTGTGTTTTCATGTCTATAAGTGTGTTCTAATATTTGTGTGTAAGTGTGTGTTTTTGTGTCAGTGTTTGCCTCTGTGTTTCTGTCTGCAAGTGTGTTATTGTGTGCCTCCATAACTATGTTTGTGTACAAGTGTGTTTGCACGTCTATAAGTGTGTCTGTGTTTTAGTGTTTGTGTCAAGTGTTTGTGTCTGCGTAAGTGTTCCTGTGTGCAAATGTATTCTTGTGTGTCTCTATAACCAAGTGTATGTTTATGTACGTGTTTGCATGTCTATAAGTGTGTCTGTGTTTATTTATTTATTTACCATGTTTATATACTGCCTTTCTCAACCTGAAGGTGACCCAGGGCGGTTTACAAACGGCACAATTCTGTGTTCTACTGTTTGCGTGTAAATGTGTGGTTGTTTCAGTGTTTGTCTCTACGTGTTTCTGTGTCCAAATGTGTTATCATGTGTCTCTATAACTGTGTGTTTGTGTACAAGTGTTTGCATGTCTATAAGTGTGTCTGTGTTCTAGTGTTTGCATGTAAGCATGTGTTTGTCTCTGTGTAAGTGCTTATGTATGCAAAAACACAGTGTATGTTTGTGTACAAGAATGTTTGCATGCCTATAAGCGTGCCTGTGTTCTACTGTTTGCTTGTTTGTGTCAGTGTTTGTCTCTGCGTGTTTGTGTGTAAATGTGTTATTGTGTGTCTCCATAACTGTGTTTGTGTATAACTGTGTTTGCATGTCTATAAGTGTGTCAGTGTTCTAGTGTTTGCATGTAAGCCTGTGTTTGTGTCAGTGTTTGTCTCTGTGTGTTACTGTGTGCCAAAAAACAGTGTATGTTTGTGTACAAGTGTGTTTGCATGTCTATTAAGTGTGCTTGTGTTCTACTGTTTTCTTGTTTGTGTCAGTGTTTGTCTCTGCATAAGCAAATGTGTTATTGTGTGTCTCTATTGCTATGTTTGTGTACAAGTGTGTTTGCATGTGTATAAGTGTGTGTGTCGTAGTGTTTGTGTCAGTGTTTGTCTTTGCATAAGTGTTTCGGTGTGTGAATGTGTGGGTATGCCTCTCTATAAGTGTCTGTGTAACTGTTTATGTGTATAACTTCAGTGTGTGTATATATATAGAAGTCTATAAGCGTGTGCCTGTGTGTGCAAAGAGCCTAGACCCCTGCAATCCCACTCTAAGGCTGCCCAACATGGTTGCTCCCAGCAGTGTTTGTGTGTGCAAAGGTGTTATTGTATGTCTCCATAAATATGTTTGTGTACAAGTGTTTGCCTGTGTCTAAGTGTGTCTGTGTTCTAGTGTTTGTCTCTGCATAAGTGTTTCTCTGTGCAATTGTGTGAGCATGCCTCTCTATAAGTGTCTGTGCAACTGTTTATGTGTATAACTTCAGTGTGTGTGTGTGTGTGTGTGTGTGTGTATAGAAGTCTACAGGCGTGTGCCTGTGTGTGCAATGAGCCTCCCCGCCCTAGGGCTGCCCAACATGGCTGCTCCCAGCCCTGGCCCAACAAGTGCCTCCCAACTTGAGTGTTGTCTTTGTGCCTTTCTTTCTCCCTTCCTCCTCTTCCTTTGCAGCCCTTCACCTTCAGAGAGGTCCTCGATGCACTCGAAGGTGATCTCGAACTGGAAGGGGTTGTAGAAGGGCGAGGGGTTGTCCAGCACCACCACGTTGTTCACTTGCACCTTGGCCATGGCCCCTCCTCCTCCGCCTCCAAAGAGGGCCCCGGGGCCCCAGCCAGCCAGCCAGCCAGGAGTTGGGGAAACTTTCCCTGGGAGTGAACCCGCTCCTAATCCGCTTTGTCTCCTTCCCTTGCCAAGCCACGCTCCCCCAGTTGGTTCCCTCGCAGGGAGCTCTTTCCTCTCTCTCTCTCTCTCTTTTTCCCTCGCTCGCTCGCTCGCTCGCCTCTTTGCGCCGCTCTTCCTTCCCCGGGCGGGCCCACTCCGCGCGTGGAAACGGGCTTGCGGAGGCGCGGATTGGCTGCTCCGGCCGCGAGGCCGCTCCTTCCCGGGCCCAGCAAGAAGGGCGCCCGGCTTGGAAGCAGAGCCAAGCAGAGCCTGGCGCTCCACCTGCCGGAGAAGCAGACGGGGAAGCTGCCTCCTCTTGACCAAGGCTTCCCTGGTTCAGTGCCCAACCTCCCACGCCATCCAGACTGCAGCCAGGGCCCTTCCACGCCGCCCTATATCTCGGAAATCCCACAATATTTGCTCTGAACGACAAGAAAGGAGATTCCATCTGAACGTTAGGAAGAACTTCCTGACTGTGAGAACTGTTCAGCGGTGGAACTCTCTGCCCCGGAGTGTGGTGGAGGCTCCTTCTTTGGAAGCTTTTGAACAGAGGCTGGATGGCCATCTCGCGAGGTTGCTTTGAATGCAATTTTCCTGCTTCTTGGAAGAATGGAGTTGGACTGGATGGCCCACGAGGTCTCTTCCAACTCTAGGATTTTATGATTCTAAGTCCACACTCAGATAATGTGGGAATTTCTGCCTCCATATTCTGAAGTTATGTGGAAGACCCTCCAGCCTACACCAGGCATGGGCAAACTTTGGCCTTCCTCCAGGTGTTTTGGACTTCAACTCCCACAATTCCTAACAGCCAGTAGGCTGTTAGGAATTGTGGGAGTTGAAGTCCAAAACACCTGGAGTTTTTGTGGCAGTTGAAGTCCAAAACACCTGGAGGAAGGCCAAAGTTTGCCCATGCCTACAATCCTAGAGACCACCCAGTCCAACCCCCTGCCAAGAAACAGGAAATTCACATTCAAAGCACCCCTGACAGATGGCCATCCAACCTCTGTTTAAAAGCCTCCAAAGAAGGAGCCTCCACCACATTCAGGGCCAGAGAGTTCCACTGCTGAACAGCTCTCACAGTTAGGAAGTTCTTCCTCATGTTCAGGTGGAATCTCCTGTCCTGTAGTTTGAAGTCACTGTTTTGTGTCCTAGTCTCCAGGGCAGCTTGCTCCCTCCTCCCTATGACTTCTCCTCACATACATGGCCTTCATATCTCCTCTCAGCCTTCTCTTCTGCAAGCTAAACATGCCCAGCTCTTTAAGCTGCTCCTCATAGGGCTTGTTCTCCAGAACTTTGATCATTTTAGTCACCTGTCCTACACTGCTATTTCCTGATGAATATGAGGCTGGCTTATAATGATTTGACTTTCTGGACAATTTATCTCTATGTTTCCTAGTCAGTGCTTGTTCAGCATGTGAATTATGACTGTATTGTGAAGTAGCGTCTGATTATTCACTTGTGTGGCTTATGGAGTATTTATTACTCATTTGCTATTCATTATCTGAGTCGTGGGACATGGCACTCAGTGTTCTTGGTTATTTGATCGTGGTACTTTCTTGGTTGTGCGGGGGAAGTACACTCCAGTTCTGTTGTTCTGTTGGCAGCTCGTGGGTGAATCACTAAAGCAGTGGTTCACCTTGCAAACCTCTGGTTCTCATCTCAACAGCTGGTAAACTGGCTGGGTTGAGAACCAGTGCATTCAAGGCTTTAATGCAAAGATAATGGTAATTTCTGAGCCGAAGAGCTGGCGTTGTCCGTAGACACCTCCTAGATCATGTGGCCAGCATGATTGCATGCAACACCATTACCTTCCCACATAAGCGGGACCTATTGATCTACTCACATTTGCATGTTTCAAACTGCTATTGGCAGAAGCTGGGGCTAACAATGGGAGCTCAGCCCGCTCCCCAGATTTGAAACGCCAACCTTTCGGTCAGCAAGTTTTTCAGCTCAGCAGTTTAACCCGCTGCAGCTCCCTTTCAAATGACATTTATGATTTCAAGGACAAGCAGTCTGCTGAAATGTGTGTGGAGGGAGAGGGATGGATAAGGAAAGAGAATTGGTTATCTAATACTGCAAGGATCCAAACTCATATAAATACATTTTAATTCAGTTTCAGCATGATATTTTATCAGTGGGTTAAACCCTTGTGCCGGCAGGACTGAAGACCGACAAGTCGGAGGTCCGAATCTGGGGAGAGCGTGTATGAGCTCCTTCTGTCTGCTTCAGCCTCTCATGCGGGGACATGAGAGAAGCCTCCCAACAAGGATGGTAAAAACATCAAAACATCTGGGCGTCCCCTGGGCAACGTCCTTGCAGATGGCCAATTCTCTCACACTATATGCGACTTGAAGTTTCTCAAGTCACTGCTGACGGATTTTTTTTAATCAACTGTGACCCTGCATTACATACATAAACAGGCTCGTGGATAACCAACATTGGTTGGTTGCTAAGGGCAAAAATGTCAGTTATGTCCATAAAAGGGAAAACAGTAGCTGCAAACAGTAGCTGTCACTCCATCTTCTATGCCAAAGAGCTTTTGTCGTCTATAGATATCATCCCAATTGAATCGTCGGCATGTCCTTATGGACCCCTTTTATTACCTTCCGGCTTTAAAGTGGTATCTATTTATCTATTCACATTTCTGTTTCTGATCTGTTAGGTGAGCAGAAGCAGGGGCTGACATCAGGCACTCATCCCAACCCTGGCTTGAACTGCCAACCTTTCGAGTGGCAGGATTTTCTGCAGCTTAGCGGTTTAACCCGCTGTGCTAAGCACTATCATACCACTTTGACTACTGCGGTTCCCTCTTGCGAAATCCTGGGGTTTTTCCTTTTAGGGAATGTTATTTAAATTTTCAGCCAGTGAGCTCCCCATGACTTCATAGGGTAGAAACTTGGCAGCTGAAATGAAGTTGCTGTTGTTGTTTTGTGTGCTTTCAAGTGATTTCTGTCTTCAGGTGGTCTTAAAATGAACCTATCACAGGGTTTTGTTTGGAAGATTAGTTCAGAAGAGGTTTGCATCACCTTCCACACAGGCATATAACCCAGAATACCAAGGCAGAAAATCCCACAATATCTGCTTTGAACTGAGATATCTGAGTCCACGCTGACATATATTCCAGTTCCAAGCAGATAATATGGGATTTTATTCAGCTGTGTGGAAAGGACCTATGAGAGTGACTTGTTCTAGATCACCCAATTGGTTTCATGGCCAAGTGGAAATTTGAGCCATGTTCTCCAGAGTTTTCATTGTACACCACCGTAACTATAATGCTATAATTGTATAGTATGAAAGGTACCTTAACAAGCATTACTCAAAGCTTACTCTTCAGCCAGAGTTCAACACTCACTGTAAAAAAATGAACTTTTCAAATTATTACAAAAAACATCCCCCCCCCCCCCGGAAGGTTTGACGGTCACTGCTGTGAAAGACTCTGGAGAATGGAATTTGGAGGCTGGCGCGCTGGTTCTAGCTGATGGGGGTCTTTGCTGTATTGACGAGTTTAACAGCATCAAAGAACATGACAGAACCAGCATTCATGAGGCCATGGAGCAACAAACAATCAGTGTAGCAAAAGCTGGGTAAGTGTCTGTTTTTCCTTATGTGCTACAAATTAGCATCTGTGCCCTTTGGGTAAGTGTCTGTTTTTCCTTATGTGCTATGAATTAGCATCTGTGCCCCCTTTTTTTCATTTTTGTCTGTTGACACTTTCACTGATATTCCATGTGAACCAGTGTGGTCCATAGTGGCAGCTTAGGCATTCACAGAAGAGAGATGCTTCCCTCCCCTTTCTGCCTCTATTTGAGAATGAAACAAAAGGTGTTTTGGAGAAGGGCCTTGCGATGAATATAGAGCAAGTCCAAATTATTAGTTTTGAGGGATCCTTCTCCAGAGGCAGGCACTGTGAGTCAAGGCACTACAAGTGAATGCTAATGACGTGATTCATTACTCCTGATGCTGTGTAGCCCAGGGTGTCCTCTCTCTAGGTCTAAGAAAGGGCTCCTAGGTGAAGACTTTCTAGACCAGTGGTTCTCAACCAGTGGGTTCTCAGGTGTTTTGGCCTACAACTCCCAGAAATCCCTTGCCTTGTAGGCCAAAAACATCTGGAGGGGTGGAATTGCCTACTCCTGGCCTACAAAATATATCCTTTCATTCCTGAGAAACAATAGCCTTCCTTAAAGAGAGTTTGGAGTAACTTGATGGTGATGTTATTCCCTACGGTGTTCATACATATTTCTTTGTCCCATCGTTGTCAAACTGCATGATTTTTGAAAGATTTTCTTGATGTTACTTTATGATGAGTACCAGCAGTTTTCTAATCTTGCTAGTTTGTTCTCTATTTGTCCCTCCACTTTCCCAACGAACAGCCATTTTTTTCTACAATAGAGATGAATCCTAAATTCAAATCCTGGGTTATATCTCCATTGGACATACTCACACTTGCATATGTTTGCACTCCCAAGAAATATATTTATTTCATGTTAAAAGCACTGCATAAATAAGTATAAAACTGATAAAATACAGGAAGCACCAGTGACTAAATAATTTTAGATCCAAAATGGGCAACAGTGACCTCATTGTCTGTAGCTTTAAATAATTATTCATCTGTCCATAAGACAGGGCATTGTGGGTAAGCATACAGATGCAGAGTTGTCTGTTCTGCTCCACAGTCACACAAGGTGGAGGATTCTTCTTGGTAGTGCCATTTTGCCAAGTTGTCTTTTGATCTGCCCACTCCACTTCTGAATCTGTTCAGGAACTTCCAAGTTGCCCGTTCTTGGTTGGTCTCAAGAAATAGAACAAAGTGTGCTGTGTGCTGTAGAATTTTATATGAAACCAGTATAGTTGTTATAAGTCGTGTGCTCTGATTGTTATGCTGTAATCCCGTTTCTTGTACCAGTGTAAGACTGAGCATAAACACAGCCTTAAAATGACCATTATTGGATGCTATTTGAACAAAAAGGGAGGGAAAACCCATTTTTAGTCAGGAGAGAAATGAAACCGTTGTTTGGTATTGAAGATGGAATTTTAGACCCCTTTTCTACTCCAAGCATTTGTTCTGGGGCTCCAAGGTTTTGCTTCCATATTTAGAAATCCTTACGGTATTATAGAGCAGAGTCAACATCGATTTCTTTTTTGAATCTGTGTTGTTTCTGGCTAAGAGACAAAATACTTTTCCCATGTTATGTACTACTGATATGAAAGCTAAGATTATTGGTGCTACACTTGTTCCCACTCAATACATGAGGTAAGAGCTAAGATGGCACCACCTCGAAATAGATTATTCCTAAATCTGATTTCGCACAGCTGTTTAGCTGTCTGCAATGAAGGGGGGCATGCTATGACTGCCGCAACCAAAACACTCTTCTGGAGCTCTGAAACCAAACCTTAAGTCAAGGTCAAATACATTAAGGAAGAGGGAAAATGTGTACTGGTTCCAGATACTCTTATTATAGCCAGAGTTGTTTGCATACCGAAACTCTGTAAGCATCTGTGAAAACATCTGCGCACCATAATATACAGAGAGAGAAAGAGCATTTGTGTCTCACCCTAAATGCAGTATGTTTATCACTACATAAGAACATCAGTGTTGGAAGTATTAAGAAACATGTTGCTTATGTATGTATATATATCTCACACCCACATACACCTCCAAATACATAAAAACAAAAAAGAAAAAGAAAAGAAAAGAATTACAAAGAAAGATACAGTTAAAGGCAAAGGGGAAAATTGCAATAATTCCTACCAACCGATTATGAGTTTTAATAGTAAGAGACTGGGCTTAGCACTAAAAAGTTGGGAATTACTGCTGTAAAGAGTTCACTTGAGATCCTCTCTATATGTAAAGGTAGTTTCTTCCAGCCTCTTTAATCTAAATGAAATCTTGTTCTGCTTCAGCATATCTCCCAGAAAATAATAATAGTAATAATAATAATCATCATCATCATCTTTATTTATACCCCGCCACCATCTCCCAATGGTGACTCGGGGCGGCTTACATGAGGCCAAGCCCAGACAACATATTGCAACAAAATAAAACCAAAAACATAAACAACAAGCAACAGCATCATAATTACATAAAAACATATGAATACAATAACAATATAACATTACAATAACACAATCAAGGTGACAGTGGGCGGGCCACATGTGCAGGATAAAATGTTAAAAAACTCAAATGAGATAAGAAGAGGAGCAAGTTATTTACAAGAGGGGGGAGCTCATAAAAAACACAGGGTTGTGGAACCAAACTTTCCAATTGGGGGGGGGCATGTACTCCAGTGACAGAAGCTTTGCGGGGAGCAGTAGTGTCATGTTGTGCATCTACTCACCAAGGCACAGCAGAAGAGCCAGGCTTTAAATAGAGAGTCAGGATTTTTTATTCAATTTTTTTTTTTAAATAGCGATTTTCTTGGGTAGAATTTAATAGCAGTTTAGTAGCTTGAGTCAAGATGAGGATGGAGCTGGATATGTAGTGCCTGACAGAATCTAGATTTAAGATTTCAGGACTGGCTTTCCAAACTTAAATTTCACTTGCCTAACAACAAGAACAGCAACAACAGAGTATTGTCGTATTTTTTTCAATTCTAAGATGCCATCATTTGTAACACACACACAAATTTCAGTACCACCAACAGAAAAAAAAGATTTATTTATATATTTTAAAGCCCCTGCTATTTTAAGGCGCTCCCCATTTTAGAGATGTTTTTATGGGGGGAAAGTGCGTCTTAGAATAAAAGAAATGCAGTTCCAATTAAATCATTCAAATACTGGCTAATTGACATTTAAAATGGTGAGCATGGCCTCCAGCCCAAATGTCATTTCCCAGATCCTGATTTCATCTGTTGCCCAATGTGTGATTTATTACATGGATATATTTCACTCTGCATACAATTTTATGAAATGCTTTTGGGGCAGGTGGAGTCTAAAATGAAAGATGTTATGTCAAGAAGTTTAAACATTTTTCATAGTTTGATTATTTAAATTTCTATCATCTTTCTCTTTAGCTTAGTGTGCAAACTGAACACAAGGACCACTATTCTGGCAGCAACCAATCCCAAGGGCCAGTATGATCCCAATGAATCTGTCTCGGTGAACATAGCGCTTGGAAGTCCTCTTCTTAGCAGGTTTGATCTTGTCTTGGTATTGCTGGATGCAAAAAACGAAGAATGGGATCGTGTCATTTCTTCCTTTATATTAGAAAATAAAGGTATGGTGACATTTGCATGTATTCTACACCACGTATTGACATGTACACTAGCTAATTTTTTTTTCATGTGTTCACAAAACACTTAAAACTGATCAAAAGCAACAGCTGATAGGGAAATTGTATTTTGATTTATCCCATTTGACTTCTACTATTTTAACAAAAAAGTATGCCACCAGTTATACTATATTCTTTGATTTCACTAGATTACAAAACATTTTGAAAATAAATAATCTCAGGCTATTTTGCAATATTTTAAAATTATATGATCATTACAAGTTGTTTACTTTTGACAGTGAAATTCAATCTTTGTAGGTGTTTCGATGTACCCAACCATACACACAACAGCAATGTAATCATGCACACAAAGGGAAATGAATCTAGCATGTTAGATTCAAAGCAATTGGGCCGTCCTAATTTTAGTAATGTTAAAGTCATTTCTCTGAATCTCTGGATGTTCTATGATATCCCAAACAATATTGTTGATTTAATGGGAAAGCTTTTGGGAAAAGATGACCTTTGCAATCAAAACCTTTTGTAAAACCAGAATCTCCAAAGCCTTTTGGAAGTGTGACCTTATGGAGATTAATTGGCATTCACTACCATTTGGAAAATCATAACTTTTTTGTCAAAAAAGTTAAGAAGAGCTAAACACTTATTTGATTGAATCTTCTCTTTAGTGGTATAAATCTACTAGTACTCATGCAAGGCAAATTAGGTTTCTCAGTTGTTAGACTCATATACCTGGCTATCTCTTCAAACTGTTAAGAACAAAGATTGTGACAATGCACAAAATACATAGCAGATCTTCAGAAGTATTATTTCAGTTACCCAAAAACATCTACTCTCCCATAAAATATATTGTTTTTAAATCATGCTCTCAAGAGACAAAAATAAAGTAGTCTTAGTTAAAATAACATAGTTGGTTTACTTACAAACTTCGTGTATTCAGCCTATAGGTACAATTCTTATCAATTGAAAGTTTGAACAGTAAGTTCTCTAAGACATTTTGTTGCAGTCTCTTCTCTGTTGCATACAGACTAACACAGCTGACTATGCACTACTAAATACAACACAACACTGACTTCTAAAATGGAGTCTCAGTCTGAATAATCCTGGGTCCGATAACATGGTCTGCAGTCACTCTCACAACCTCAAACATAGAGTTAAGAGGAAACTGCATACCAAATACACACACGATGTAGTAAGCAATCTGAATTATATATATAAAACAACTGGTATAGGAGGCTTGGAGATGGTTGCTATTTCTAACAAAAGCAACAAACTTATTTATTTTGATTATACTCAAAAGTGTTACAAAAACTGTTTGGAAAATATACTAACACCTTTTTTTCAAAGGTAGCGTTCCCACACTGAGTTTACTCCTCCTCGTCCCAAAGATACCAGTTGAAACCCGGGAACCCTATTAGAAACGTACTTGCAATTCATTCCTAAAAGACAGTTTGTTGGGTTCTTTTCTGTTGCTGTTTTATATTAATACGGTTGCTTTTGAAAACTTCTTTTGGCAGGCTGCCTAAGTGTGTCTGAAAAGCTTTGGACTATGGAAAAAATGAAAACATATTTTTGCCTTATAAAGAGCCTGCAGCCAGTATTGACTGAGGAAAGCAACCTGATTCTTGTCCGCTATTATCAGATGCAGAGGCAGAGCGACTGCAGAAATGCTGCACGAACCACCATCCGCTTATTGGAGAGCTTGATACGGTTAGCCGAAGGTGAGGGTTCAGTGGTTCTTTTCCTTTCTCTTGAAATGGTTACATCAAGCAAAAGGGATCAAACGTGGAAAGTCCTAAGTGCGGGAGAGAGTCTAATGTGACAAGAAAGCCACATTTCTCACTTTTGTAAGTTGCTGGTTGTCCCAAAGAAGGAAATGTTATTTCTAAGAACTTGCCAAGCTTGAATAAATATTGGCACTTCTGAGAGTGGTTTCTTCTTTATTATTTGTTAACTTTACAACAATTGCTCATGTTCTTGGAATAATTGAAATTTTACTATTTATACAAAGCCCCCCTGGTGACACAGAGAATTGAACCACTGAGCTGCTACATCTGGGCAGTAGGGTGAGCTCCCACTGTTAGCCCCAGCTTCTGCCAACCAGCAATTTGAAAACATGCAAATGTTAGTAGATCATTAGGTACCACTCCGGTGGGAAGGTAACAGCGCTCCATGCAGTCATGCTGGCCACATGACCTTGGAGGGGTCTAAGGACAGCGCTGGCTCTTGGGCTTAGAAATGGAGATGAGCACCACTCCCCAGAGTTGGACACGACTAGACTTAGTGTCAGGGGAAACCTTTACCTTTATGTTGCTTCACCTGCCATTATGAATTCGGCACTACATTTAATCCCACTGTCTGCTTCTAACATTTATTCATGTTTCAATGCCTTTTAGCACATGCTCGGTTAATGTTTAGGGAGACGGTAACTGTGGAAGATGCTGTAACTGTGGTTTCAGTGATGGAGTCCTCTATGCAGGTAGGTTTCCTTTTAGATATTATTTTACAACATATAACTAAAATAGCCTTTCAGATGCCTGTGAGCAGAAGCTGTGGATACCAAAGTTTCAAAGAGGAAGATCCCAAAAATGGTAGAAATGATGCCATAATAATAATAATAATAATAATAATAATAATAATAATAATAATAATAATAACTATTTTTTATATATATATATATAAACTGTCCTATCTCCCCAGGGAGAATCAGGGTGGTTTGCACACAAAAAAGGCAAACATTCAATGCCCTAAAATGAATACAAACATCTTAAAAATACTACAAGATAATACAAAATAATAACCATAAACTTATAACAAAAAAAATTAACATCAAAATGAAAAACAAAATGCAAATAGTCAAATAAATATAATTATACTGATAACATAATTAACAATTTAGGCATAGACCCTGAAAAACAATTGAAATACATAAAAATGGCTATCATGGTTGTTCTTTCTCATGTACCATAGCAGCAGTGGAATACAAATAAATCAGCCAGCATTCCGATGGAGTTGAAAGTGTCCTAGTTCTCCTCCTCTCCATGTGCTAAAGTGCATAAATACATCTTCAAGAGTTTTTTGAAGGAAATTGCATGCTGTTTTCTTTAGGGAAGGAGTTCCAGAGACGGGAAGTGATCACAGAGAAGGCCCCCTCTCTTGTTCCCACCAACCGTGCTTGAGACGAGGAGTGGGACCAAGAGCAGGGCCTCCTCTGTTGACTATAAGGAGCATGGCTTGTATAGGGCCATGCTCCCTATAGTGTGTTTGGCATCATTTAGAGGTAAAACAAAAAAATATTTTTATGGAGATGGGAGATCTCCAGGATAGTCTAATGCAGCCCCATAGACTCCCACAAGTGCCCACTCCTGCTGTAAAAGAAAGGTTTAAATAGCCCAATAATTTTATTTGGTGCTAAAAGAAATGAATATGTCTTTACTGTGTTTAATTTATCTTGGCTTTTGGATTGCATTTCTTTTCTTTCCGCAGGGAGGCGCCCTTCTCGGAGGAGTCAATGCACTGCACACTTCGTTTCCTGAGAACCCACTGGAGCAATACCGAATGCAGTGTGAACTGATTCTGGAGAAGCTGGAGCTGCGAGACCTCCTGCATGAAGAACTGAAAAGACTTGACAGGTGGGGAAACATTTCTCCAAGAGGAAAAAATAGACATTGAAATGCAGTTGGATTAAGATAATACCCATGCTGTTTCCACTGGCAAGGTTAAATGACGACCGCTAATAGCTTTGCTGTTCTGAGGAATGGTCCGAAAGCACATGATACTAAATAATTAATAGCTGAAAAGGGAGTTGGTCAGTTTTGTTTACTTGTTTGTTTAGATACAAAATCACCGTAAATAACTGCAGTGGCAATTTGAAACAAGCTTGGTAGGGAGCAGGCTCCATTAAAAAAGAAAGGCTTGTTTTTAAGCAAATGTACATAGGCCTGCATTGTAAACAAAATCAAGAATAAGACTTGATTTGTTTATTTACCCTATTTATACCCAGCCTTTCTCTACCCCAAAGGGGACTCCAGGCATTTTACACAGAGACAATTATCTGGTGCCTTAAAACACATACAATTCCAAAATATTAAAATTGAAATTAAAATTAAATTAAAATGAATACATATTAAACATTTAAAAACATTCCATTCCATATTAAAATCATGCCATCCATAATCGTAGTCCAAGCCATTCCATAGTCATTGCACATATTCCAAATCTGTTATTGCACTGCACTATTCTCCGAAAGCCTAATCCCACAGCCCAGATTTTACTTTCCTTCTGAAGGTTAGGAAGGAGGGGCTGACCTGATTTCGCTGGGGAGGGAGTTCTGCAGTCAAGGGGCCACCACTGAGAAAGCCCTGTAGCTCGTCCCCACCAGTCAGGCTTGCGAGGGGGGGTGGGACTGAGAGCAGGGTCTCCCCAGACAATCTTAATCTCTGAGGTGGTTCACTGGAGGAGATGCATTCGGACAGGTAAGCTGGGCCAGAACTGTTTAGGGCTTTATAGGTTAAAACCAGCACTTTGAATTAAACTTGGAAGCATTGGAGCTGTTGTAACAGGGAAGTTGTGTGCTCCCTGTACACTGCTTCAGTGAGCAATCTGGCTGCTACTCATTGGACCAATTTAAGCTTCCAGACCTTCAAAGGCAATCCAATGTGGAACGTGTTGCAGTAGTCTTGCATGTGAAATCCTTTGTTCATTCCAAATAAAGCAATTATACTAGATTTTTAATTTTCAGATTTCAATGTTTTCTGTGTATTCTGTAATACAAGGAATTTTTCAGACATTCTGAAAATTTGGGTCTTCATTTTCTAAATGTAGATATATGTGTTTATTTTGTAGACTACAGCATGAAAATTCATCTCAGCTGCTGCTGTCCAAAGAAGCATCTTTCAACCATCATTCATTTGGGAAACCAAAGCAGACGTCTCATCCTCAAGATTCAGACAAAGAAGGAAACAATCCAATAATTCATTTGCAGCCGCCAGTTGCCAAAAAAGACCCTGCAACTGACAGGGATCCAGTGCTCACAAACAGCCAAACGTCGAATGATAGCAGAGTAATAGAACTTATTGCCAAACCTAGCGAGAGCAGCAATGATAGCAGTTTGAAGTGGTTTGATAGTTTAGCCGGTGGCAGCGATGAGGCCGAAAAGAGTTCTTGCAAGTCTCCAGTTGCAGGACCATCTCAAGAACGTTTAGCTTCAGAAACACCAAGCAACCAGGTCTGCTCTGAAGAGAGAACCTGTTTAAGAGAAGCCAAGCAAACTGGAATGCAGGAATCACTGGCAACAGCAGCTGCAGGAGATCCTTGTAATCCTGCTACAAAAGAAATCCTTTTTCCTGAGAGGGCAGGCAAGCCTTTGGCATTGCTTCCAAGAGCAAGCAACAAGCCTTCACCTCACCCTCCCTCCCCTGACTTAGTGGTCACTCAGAGGGCCTCTAAGAAGTGGCAGAAGGTAAACATTGAAAGGGTCCGTGGGTTTTGTGCAAGCACCCCTGACCCTAAGTCTGGAGACCCCCCAGCTTCATTGTCTTCTCATCCAGGCATTGCTCCCCAGTCTCCTATCATGGACTTCAAGGTTTCACTTTTGCACAATGTGCCTTCAAGGGACCAGAAACTGGTAACTTCAAACAAAAAGAGAAATAGAGACCAAGCAGAGAAGGGAGAAGGAGAGAGTCTCCAGGAACCTAAAATGCCTGAGAACTCAGGACCTGCACCTCCCAAGCTGACTCGGTTTTCCTTTAAACAGAAGCCAAGGCTTTCTCATTCTTCTAAAAATGAGGCTCATGCCCAGTTACCCACTGTTTGCGGCCCTAGCTCTTCTACCACAAATGTGTCATTAGAGGCGAGGCCGAAGGAAGTATGTTCTGAGAAATACCAGAAAATACTGGATGCTAACGTAGGAAGTAAGAGCATGATGAAACCAGTCTGTGATAACAAAAGAGGGGAACAGAAACAGAATGAAAGTTGTCTTCGTTCAACCACAAAAAATACCAGCGAAGGAGAAGTACTAGGTGGCCTCAACACAAAGAAAGTGTGTTCCAGCACATTAGCAAAACTGGCCAAGTTTGCCTTCACGCCATCTGCTGAATCCAAAGGAGAGGCTCCAGAATCAAAAGAAGAGCCTCACTCAGTTTCACTGAATGTCACCAGTGAAAATGAGGACAGGCCAAAGCAGCCCCGAAACGATAGCACAGGCCACACAAGGAAGTGCTTTGAACTCGGCAAAAGTAGCGTGGTCGCAGGCATATCTTTGTTCTCAGTAACAGATTTTGATGATACAGACTTAGACTTCGATTGGAATGAAGAGAGCCAGAAAAAAGCCACATCTTAAAACATAATTTTGTCAGAAAGATATGCAGTTTCCATAATTGGCTTAATTTGAGATTGGGGGAAGAGGGGAGTGACAGATACTAGTTTCATCTTGCCCTGAAATAATAAGGACCCAAATGGCTTTGTTATAGATAAGGCATCAGACGGAAAACAGATCCTACTTTGAAATCTCACTCCCCTGGATGGTGGTGTTTTTAGGGCACTCAGACTCTTAGCCTCAAACAGAATAAATCTTATTGAAGTGAGCAGGACTAACTACAGAGGAGTCCTTTGAAGAAAGCAGTAGATCAGATGCTGGCGTAGCTAATTCTTTCAAGCTAACTATTTCAAGATGCCTAATGCCATTGATGGTTTAATTTGGAATATTTTGGTAAAATTGAGGAACGAGAAAATTTTGATATTAATGAAACAGATTCTCCCCCCCCCCCCAGCTTATTTCTTTTCCTGCCGTCTGCTTATTACCCTGTGCAACAATTGGGTCAGTTTCAGTTTGACTTCTCATTCAAATAAAAGAAGAAACACACACACACACTATATATATATATATATATATATAACCGTGATTGTGTATTTTCTAGCATTCATTGTTTCCTTCACTGCTTCATCAAACTTACAATCTGTTCCATAATGTGTGATCTTCACACTGTGTGATCTTCACACTGTATCAATTAGGTATAAATGAAGAAAGTCACTTTCTTGGCTCCCTTGTGTATGTACATCTTTTCATGCAATAAATGTAAGTAGGCTCTGCTACTCTAGTCATTCTGCATTATTTAATTTCATTGTTTACTGTGGAGTCCTCAACACATACACAAGCCAACAAAAACAAACTTTTTGTAATAATCAGAAATAAAGGTAGCACAGTTTTAAACAATTTTTAGGCTGATTTTAAATATGTCTTCATTTTTTCCCATCATGTCATCTTTTTAAAATATGACAAATGGTACATTGCAGCAGACTACTGTAAAGTCTGCACATCTCACATTATATTAATGTAACACAAGCCAACAAGTATTTTTCATCAGCTATAGTTATAGATCATTCTTATAGAGCTTTTTTGCACTGAATTTGGGTCTGTGCTTATTTTTTCTCTATAACATGTAGTTTTTGCAATGAGGCTAATCAAATAATTAATGCATTTACAAACTGATATCAATAGAATCTTATTAATCACAAGCAAACAAGTATTTTTCATTGGATAACATTTTAGATCATTATAGAGGTTTTTTTGTGCTGAATTCAGGTCCGTGTTTATTTTTTCTCTATCACATGTAGTTTTTCCGATGAGGCTAATCAAATAATTAATGCATTTACGAACTGATATCAATAGAATCTAATTAATCACAAGCAAACAAGTATTTTTCATCAGGTATGATTTTTGATCATTCTTACAGAGTTCTTTGCACAGAATTCGGATTTGTGTTTATTTTTTGCTCCATCACGTGTAGTTTTTGCAATGAGGCAAATAAAGTAATTAATGCATTTTAAAATTACACATGATAGAGAAAAAATGAACACAGATCTGTATCCAGCGCAAAAAAAAAAACTATAAGAATGACCTAAATTTTTAATTTGATGAAAAATACTTGTTGGCTTGTGATATTATTCCTTCCAGTGTTGCTTTGTATGATTGATGAGCTTTGTAATATTTTGTTTAACTAGGAGCTTTGTCAAAAGAAATTGGGAAGGTTAACTCAATGTCAGGCAAGTGGATTTCGGTTATCATGCATCAATTAAAAATTATGACCTCTGTTTTTTGTCCTTCAGTAAAATATCCATTAGCAGGTTTTTCTTGGCTGCAATCCATGCATTTAATACATAGCAAGAAGGTCACAACCAGCTCTGAGGAAGAGTGGAAAAAATCCTAAATAAATATAGGTGCCTTAAAGAAAAGAGAATTGCTCTTAATTGTATCAAGAAACACATGGATAGCAAATGTTTATGCAATTATATGCATACAGTTCCATCTAACTACGTGTTGTTGCCTGTATTTGAATGACTGAGAGAACGGCAAGCATTCCAGTCTTGCACTCTGCTGTGCAGTGACAACAAAACAAACAGCTTATCTGAAACCTGAACCCAGCCATGCACATGGCAGTGTGACAGTGTCCTGTTATTGCTGCATGTATTACTAGGAAGAGTCAGTCATCTTTCTGTGCAGGGTCTTGTATGTTCAGGGAAGTGGTAAAGATGGGGTCATTGTAATTTGCCCCCAGATCTATGACCTGCTGTGTCTAGTTTGCCTTCACTCCAGTGCAGTTGTGTGCTGGCCCAAAGGAAAAGAGGTTTAGTCCATATTTGGATGAGAATAAAGATCTGGAAAGTTCGGCCCCATTGACTGGCCCTTCGTTTGCTGTGAGGCAGCTGAAGCCAACAAAAAGGCAAGGCTGCCAATAGAAATCCATACTGACTTGCTAAGACATGTGCTTTGCTAAAACAGATGAGTCATTTCCTAATCAGCTCATTCTTTTCACAAAATTACGTACCTCACATAACACAGTATGGGTCCTCCATGCCCAGTTCTGTATGTGCAGAAATACTATGGATAATTTCCTTGACCCCTTTCCCCATTAACAGAAAAATCCCATCAAAATCCCTTGAACATTTGAAAACTTGTGTATATTACTCATGTATTACTTAAATGTAGCCACAGGAAGCTTATCTCCCTGCTCCTCCACTGTGTTAAATATTGCCCAGCCAGATGTATTTCTCAATCAACTTATAACCAAATTGCAAAGTTGTATTAGTTGATGTATCTTTTTAAAACATTTTTCAAAGCAGTCCCATAGGACATGTTACAGTGATCCAAAAAGCATATATACAACAATGAAGTAGTAAACCAACTCCAGGCTATAGATGTGGACATGGGTAAACTTTGGCACTTTGGTAGGCTGTTAAGAATTGTGGGAGTTGAAGTCCAAAACACCTGGAGGGCTGAAGTTTGCCCATGCTTGCTTTAGACTGAACGATAAGAGTTATCCACAATTTTGAAATGCATCTCCCAAATAGTTTTACCTCTTGAATACCTCTTTTAAAGTCTGGGCTAAAATCCAACCACCGATGGCACAGCTGGTTAAACCGCTGAACTGCTGAACTTGCTGATTGAAAGATTGGCAGTTCGAATGTGGGGAGCAGGGTGAGCTCCTGCTGTTAGGCCAACCTTCTGCCAATCTACAGTTCGAAAACATGCAAATGTGAGTAGATCTGCGGGAAGGTAATGGTGCTCCATACAATCATGCCAGCCACATGACCTTGGTGGTGTCTACGGACAATGCCAGCTCTTCATCTTAGAAATTGAGATGACCACCACCTCCCAGAGTCAGAGTCAGGGGAAACCTTAACCTTTACTTTAGCTGCCACTAAAAAAGCCCATTTTTTCCTGAAAGTCCTAAATTGAAGCATGGTGAGATCTCTTCCCCCTGTCAAATATTCTTCCTGCATTAAGATGAAAGAACTCATTCTAAAACACAGGGATCTTTTCTTCTGAGAATTCATGTGGTGTTCAATGTTATAGCAAGGATTTTAATGCCAGAAAAGACATTGTCAATCATCAAAGGTCTAGTCACTTGTCCGAGTTTCCCTACCCTGGTTCCAAAGCTCATCTTCAGTTGCTCATGTTTTAGCTTTCTCCACTCCATGCAAACTTTTATCATAGCTCATAATTCCTCATTTCCTGCTTTGTTTCAGTCAGATTCCAAATAGTAAAGATATTCATCCCACTGTTTGTTCATTTCTAAACATCATTAAAGGTGTTGAAAAGCATGCGTGCACAGTTCGACAGTGTAGAGGTATGTTGTAGCCGTGCATATATGAGCTGAAATCGTAAGTTGTGATAGCTAACTCCAACTTGCACTATTTTGACTCACTTTTTGGTCACTGTGAAGGTCAGAATTCTTTATGGACCACACAACAATCCAAATCTGCGTGCCACCCCCAAATGTAGCAATTTCTGTGTTGTCAGAGAGCAAAAGAATCAACAGAGATGCATCCCTCTGTTTCCTTGTTATTGGTCGTTCTGCAAGGACATCATTTACAGAGTCATGGAGGTACCTATGGAGGAATGTTGCAGCATATCCAATGACAGGAAAATAGCTGGGCATCTCTCCATAGATTTCCTCTACTCTCCTACAACACAGAAATTGATATTTAGTAGGACTGAATCACTATAAAGGTGGGTAGCACCAGGGGATGTAGTTATGGTGATATCACTATATAGGCCATTTGCAGGATGTTGAAACATGATCATGATTTAGATATGTAACAACTTCTCAAACTGCCTTGATAAAGCCTTGTATACAGTAATCAAGTAATTTAATTATAAAATGTACTTTTGGCCATTACAATAAATCCAGGTACATTTTTTACAAGTATTGTAACTGCATACTGTATTTGAGATGTCATGAATTGCAGCCTTTGCCCTTGTTCTTTGATTGCCTAGTCTTTGGTCCGAATTTCATTATAGCTTGGTGATATTTAATATCAAAGATCAATTTCTTGTTGATTTAGCAGCGAATCAAGATACCACAGATGCACCAACCTGATCCTTGTGCCCTCTTGTCACAAGAAGCATTAATGCGCACAGAGTGTCTGTGAGCAGAGAAGAGACAAGGTCAGGATGAAAGGCAAACCAAGAATTCTTAGCTAATAAAACATTCATTGGGTCTCCCAGGATGTACTTATTGATAGAAAACTAAGTATTAAATTCTCAGTATTTGTTGCAATGGAATCATTAACTCCATTAATAATAAATTGTATGCTTTTAAAACCACAGCATACCGATAAGGACTAGATTATCAAGTTCTTTTCAGAACAGCTTACTTTCTGTTAAGCATGATAATTGCACAGAAAGAATGACGCTGCTCTTCCTTTGAGACAAATTTATGTAATAATAATTGTCTCTTTTCATAACAATCCTTTTATCTAACTCTATCCTGCTGATTTGTAACTGCATTGCCTGGTTTTGTATCTGCATCTGTCCACTATATGCTGCAACACTGTGCACATTCAAACCAAACATCCCAGTGGCTGTTGCCACAAAAAAGTCTTGTATTGTCAAAGGCTTTTATGGCCAGAATCACTGGTTTGCTGTATGTTTGTGAGACCCCACAGCCTCTGAGGATGCCTGCCATAGATGCAGGTGAAATGTCAGGAGAGGATGCTTCAAGAATATGACCATATAACCCAAAAAACCCACAACAACAACAACAAAATATATTGCTCCCCTTGTCACTCTAAGCAGGACTTTCCCAACCTTTCTAATCTCATTTTGGGAGTACATGCAGTTTAAAGGGGAGAAATTATCCTATCTGATTCTGCAAGTATCTGCTGTTCACATGCAGAGGTTGCATACTGCGAGCACAATGAAAGATCTTCTCATAGTGACACCAGAGGCACTTCAAGTGGCCAGCTTCTGGTCAAAGGAC